AAGCAAGTTAAGGAGTTGTTTCAAGCAGTGGAGGATGAATGGGCAAGGAAGAAGGCGAAGAGCATGCCAGTTTTGAAAGGGGTGCGAGAGATGAAAGGCTTGTTTTCTGATGTTAATTATGAAGGAAGGAGTGGAGCAGGGAGAGTGAAAACGGGTGGGGGAAGGAGGGAGAGTGGAAGACTCAGTGTTTGTCAGTGAAGCTCAACATTGTGTCTTGGAATGCTCGGGGACTAAATGACCCAAGGAAGAGGAAGGTGGTGAAGGCGTTGATTCGTAAATGGAGAGTGCAGATGGTTTGCTTGTAGGAGACCAAGCTGGATATGGCGGAGGCCAAGGTGATAAAAAGTCTGTGGGGGGTAGATTTGTGGATTGGGAGGTTATTGATGCGGAGGGGACTGCTGGGGGCATTACTTTTCTTTGGGATAGGAGATGGGTGTTGAAGGTTGATGTTTGGAAAGGGAGGCATTCATTATCAGTTTTATTTGAGTTTGAGGAAGATGGGTCAAAGTGGTTTTTTTCGGGGGTCTATTGGCCTATAGGTGATGTGGAGCATCGAGAATTGTGGGAGGAGCTGGGTTTCATTAGCAGCAAATGGGGAGTTCCGTGGTGTGCTGTGTGTGTTTGGGGGGGTGGGGGGGGGGGGGGGGGGGGGGGGGGGAACTTGTCCTCGTGCTTATGTTGTCCTTAGCACGAGGGAGAGATCTTCTAGGGGTGTGTGGGATGAAGCAATGGCTGATTTCTCTTAGTTCGTGGAAGCTAACAGGTTGTTGGATCTTCCCATGGTGGGAGGTGCATTCATATGGTCGAGTGGGCATGATCCTCCTTTTTCTCGGCTGAATAGATTTCTTATTTCAGTAGAGATGTAGGAGAAGTTTCCGGATGTGTCTCAAGTGGCGTGTGCATGTGCAATTTCTGATCATGTTCCTGTGTTACTGGATTGTGGAGGGATTAGGAGAGAAAAATCCCCATTTAGATTTGAAAACATGTGGCTATGAGTGGGAGATTTCAAAGACAGGGTTCAGAATTGGTGGTGTGGGTATGATGTTAAGGGTAATCCAAGTTTTCAATTGGCATCTAAGCTGAGACGCCTAAAGGGAGATATCAAGGTCTGGAATAAGGATGTGTTTGGAAAACTGGAGTGGAGGAAAAATCTGCTTCTTATGGAAATTTCAGAGTTGGATAGGAAGGAAGGGGTTGAGGGGATTTATGGGTTGGAAAGGAGCAGAAGGGAGGAGTGCAAGGCTGAGTTTGAAAAGACTGTACTGATAGAGGAAGTTTCGTGGCGACAGAAATCTAGAGATTTGTGGCTTAAAGAAGGTGATCGGGATACTAAGTTTTTTCACCGCTTAGCTAATGCTCACAGAAGAGGGAACAACATGGGGAGGATGTGTTTTGATGGAGTTATGGCTGAAACTGAAGAGGAGATTCGGACAGGTTTTGTGGCATATTATCAGGAGATTTTCACAGAGTCTGTCTCTCGGAGACCGAGGTTGGATGATATTGAGTTTGATACAATCTCTGATGAGGATAGGGTGGGGTTGGAGAGGCCTTTTGGGGAGGAGGAAGTGTTGGAAGCTTTAAGGAGCTGTGACGAAGATCAAGCGTCGGGGCCGGATGGGTTCACAATGGCATTTTTCCAAAAGAATTGGGAGGTGGTGAGAGCGGATGTGATGACAGTATTGCATACTTTCTTTAAGGAAGGTTGTTTTGAGAAGAGTCTGTATGCTTCTTTCATTTCCTTCGTACCTAAAAAGGGTGGAGCAGTTGAAGCTAAGGATTTCAGACCAATTAGTTTGGTGGGCTCTGTTTATAAGATTATTGCGAAGATCTTGGCTATTAAGCTAAGGAAAGTTTTGGATGGTGTCATTTCGGAGTCACATAATGCGTTTGTTGGAGGAAGGCAGATTCTTGATCCGATTCTTTTTGCTAGTGAATGTATTGGTGCAAGAGTCAAGAGTGGTGAGCCGGGGATTGTGTGTAAATTGGATATTGAGAAAGCCTATGACAATGTGAATTGGGTGTTCTTATTGTATTTATTGGAAAGGATGGGGTTTGGAGCTAAATGGAGAGGGTGGATACACCAATGTATTTCGTCGGCTCGTTTCTCTATCTTAGTGAATGGGTTTCTTCACAAGTTCGAGAGGTTTATGTCAGGGGGACCCATTGTCCCCTTTTCTGTTCATTATTGTAATGGAAGCTTTGAGCAGACTTATGGAAAGGGCAGAGGTAGTAGGCTTTATCCAAGGTTTTTCGGTGGGGCGTTCGCCAAACTAGATTGTTACATCTCACTTTGTTGTGATGATAGTATTGTTTTTTGTGATGCGAGTGTGAATCATTTGAGGCATTTGAGGTGTGTTTTGGCCTGTTTTCAAGTTGTCTCGGGGCTGAAAATTAATATTGGCAAGAGTGTGATTGTTCGAGTGGGGGAGGTGGGAAATATTCATGATTTAGCAACTATTTTGTGTTGCGGAGTGGAGTCTTTTCCGTTTTCGTACTTGGGGCTGCCCTTGGGTTCGTCTACGAGGAGAATTTCCGTTTGGGATCCGGTGGTGGAACGGTTCCAAAAGAGGTTATCCGGGATCGAAAAGGGATAAACTCACATTGTTGAAAAGTACTCTCTGTAATCTTCCTACATATTTTATGTCTCTGTTTCCGATTCCGAGAACAGTGATTAGTAGACTGAACAAGATTCAAGGGAACTTTCTGTGGGGGGTTTTAGGGGAGGAGTTTAAGTACCATCTGGTGAAATGAGAGAAAGTTTGTACCCCTATTAAAAGAGGAGGGTTGGGAATTCGAAGGTTGGATATGTTCAATAAAGCTTTGTTAGGGAAATGGTTATGGAAATTTGGGTGTGAAAGGTTTGTGCTTTGGAGGCTTATTATTGCTTGTCGGTTTGGGGAAGAGGAGGGAGGTTGGATGGCTAGAGGTGTGTCTTAGCAGGTATGGGTTCTTGGAAATGTATTAGGCGGGGATGGGACGAGTTTTGTAAGCAGATACGGTTTAGAGTTAGGAATGGGCAGCATGTGAGGTTTTGGAAAGATGTATGGTGTAGGGATGTGGTGTTGGCTTGTAGGTTCCCTCGGCTTTTCAGGATGGCTAAGGATAAGTTTGTTGTGGTTGCAGATTATTTTCGATTAGAGAATGGGAGAGCTAGTTGGGATGTGCGCTTTCGTCAAAACTTTAATGATCAGGAGATGCTGGAATTTACAGATTTAATGGGATTAATAAATAGTCAAGGGGTGAAGGGGGATGGAAGGGATGAGATGGTGTGGACGGGGGGTGTTTGAGGTGAGGTTATTTTACCAAAGTCTTACGGATTCGTTAAGTAACGGTTTCCCTTGGAAGGCTGTATGGAGGACGTCAGCTCCACTGAAGGTGGCGTTTTTCACATGGACAGCAGTACTTGGCAGCATTCTTACGCTCGATAATCTTAGAAGAGGCCGAATAACAGTTAATTGATGTTGTATGTGTAAGATGACGGGCGAATCAGTGAACCATCTCTTGTTGCACTGCAAAGTGGCATCGGATGTTTGGAGTATGGTTCTGAATGTGTTTGGGGTTGAGTGGGTGGTGTCAAGGAACACGGTGGACATATTAAAGGCTTGGAGAGGGAGACCAATGGGTAGTCGGTTTAGGAAAGCTTGGAGGGTTGCACCGCTTTGTGTTTGGTGGGGGTTGTGGCTTGAGCGGAATAGGAGATCTTTCGAGGGAAAGGAGGCGCCGACGTGGGTTTTGTATTCTCTTTTTTCTTGGGTTAATGGGAGAAATTGTCCATCTGTGGACAGTTTGTTGGATTTTGTTAACAACTTATAGTTGTAATGGCACCTTTTGCGTCTTTTGTTTGCTTTGTTAAGGGTTCGCTCCCCTTTGAGCATCTTAGTTAATATATATTTACTTATCAAAAAAAAAAAAACAAGGATTTAGTTATAAACTTAATAGTCATATACTCTCAAAAGCTAATCTCCGCCGAATGTAAAGATTGGTAAGGTACTTACAGGCTGCTGGGTTTTTCCCATTCATATTTGGATTGTGATTCCATAATTAGAAAACTTAAAACTCTTTGACTACCACTATCATTCGAAGCCTACAAAAGACTTCATATAAAAAACCCAATAAGCTAATATACCGAAAATATGGCCCATTGACCACAACTACTATCCATGTCTAGCAAATTGAAAATTTATTGAAGTACTTTTTCCTAAAATGAAATATATATATATATATATATATAATTGTACATCTGTACCAGACAACATCTTATCCTAAAACTAATTTAAGTTCAAAACTGAACTTGATTACATTTGGTACAAAGCATGTTCGGTGTGAAATTCTTGATTTTCCCCTTTATGCATCAAGAATACTGACAGTTGATCTTCTCAGGAGCTTAGTGAACTAGTGTGGTATGTTCCAATAGAAATCCGCTGTCGACCAATTGCTTATACATTGTTAGCTGGTCTCCTCTGTTATATACTTTTTCTTTTTCAGTTTGGTGTCTTTTAGGTTTTCATCCACTCCTTATGTAATACTCCCTCTGTCTAATATTAGATGTCACACTTGTGGAGTGTAACTTTTTAAGGGGACATGTAATTATTGCATTGTCCCCTTTAAGAATTACTAAGTTGCCCTTTCAAGTTTGAATATTTATATAATCAAGTTTGAAATTTTCTAAAAGTTTAAGGGTATTTTGTGGAAAGATGTGAAATGTGATGTTTGAATTGAGAAAGTTGACAACTAATTTGGGACAACCAAAATAGAAAGATTGACAACTAAATTGGGACGGAGGGAGTATGTTTTTACAATTGGAGCATTTTGCTTTGCCTTTTAGCTGCTCTAGTGTCTAGCTCCTTATGAGATTCAGGGCTCTGTATGTGGGAAGGATATTTTTGTGTTTTTGATAATTATTGGCATTCTGGTCTGATGAGATGGAATATGGAGTTTTACCTTCTTTTTTTCCCCTGGTTTCCTCCCTTGGGTTTTAAATTACAGTTCTGGTTTTACAGGTTGACATGGTGAAGGGCAGTGTGATCAAAAGGGGTCCAAGGAGAGTATCATTTACACTTCGTAAGGTATGTGGGAGAATATCCCTTACATCTTGTAAGGTATGCGTGCATAAAGTTTTGGTTTGTCCTCCTGGCTGGACAATATATTATTTCTTTACAGTTTCTTCCTTAGTTTTATGCACGCTAGCCTTCTTTTATCAGATAGATTTCATTAAAGAGTGCTCAAAGAGGAGCGCAGCCCAGTAACAAAAGCTAGACCAAGAGAGTGCTATACAATCAAAGTATCCACAAGAGAAACTATATCCCCACTGATTTACAATTCCATCCCTCTACCCACAAAAATAGAAGTATAAAGAATAGGGAACTTAATCACCCAAGCTGGAACCTCAACTCTGTCAAAGGACTGCTTATTCCTCTCTCGCCACAGCTCCCACCAAAGGCAAAGGGGTGACACCCTATAAGCATGTAATAGCCTACTCCACCACATGGTATGATATTGTCTGCTTTAGGCCGCACGGTTTTGTTCCAAAGTGTTACCCCAAAAGGCATCATACCATTTGGAGACACCACTAATACATATAAGCACTTCACCTTCACCTTACCCAAACGATGTGGGATTGTGCACCCATAGCCTGCCAGTGCCTCTCACCCGTGGTCACCATAACCCCCCCCCCCCCCCCCCCCCCCCTTCTCTTAGGGGCCCAACGTCCTTGTTGGCCCCACACTTCTAGCTAGGCTCCGGCTCTAATACTATTTGTAACAGCTCACTCCACTAGATGATATGATATTGTTCGCTTTGGGCCCGCAGTTTTGTTTTTGGGTTTCATTCCAAAAGGCCTCGTACCATTTGGAGATGGCACTAATACACATAAGCACTTCACCTTCACCTTACCCAAGCGATGTGGGATTGTGTACCCGTAGCCTGCCAATGCCTCTCACCCGCCCATGCATACCCACCTACAAGGTTGCCACAAAGCATCTCGGATCTGCCTCCTCACTGTGCACCCTCTCCAGGCCTCATGCATGCTTTGCGTGGACTCTGGCGGCATAACCCAAACAACACCGAAAAGGGCAAAAAGCATAGCCCAACAACAATTTCGAGTTACCGGACAGTGCAAGAGAAGATGACAAACCGACTCTTCATCTTTCTTGTACATGCAACACTAGTCAAGATCCTCCTTAGACCCACCGTCCAACCAAAAAAAGGCCACCTTGAGCGGAGCTTTATGCATGCTGGCCTTGAAAACATCTCTTAAAGTATGCGTATATAAAGATTTTGGTTTGTCCTCCAGACTCCATCCACCGGACAAGATGTTAATTCTATACAACTTCTTTCTTAGTTTTATGCATACTAGCCTTGAAAATTAAAATAACTCTACATTGTTTTAATAAATGTATTCTTCCAATCAGTCACGTGTTATGCCATTCGCTCACTATTTATAACTTTTTGATAAGGATAGCATAAAATGTCTGACTGGCAAGCTTGAGGATGCAGGCTTGACCGCTTGAGATTAAGGGATAGCCACTTTTTGCAAAGATACTCCGATGGTTAGGTTTGTATCCAGTCTACCTCCTAGTACCTTGTATTGGTAGGGCCAGCAGCTCTTGATAGTCTCATTCTAAGAACATAAAACAGAAATGCACTTCTTCTCTTTTTATTTTTCATTTGGGGTGGGGGGTTTGAACAATGAACCCAAATAGTACATGCAAAAATAATACATGGACTCGTTATGACCCAAATATACCCAAGTTCCTGGCATTCATATGTGTGGACACCCCTTAACCCTGTAGATGCATTTTGAAAACCGAGAGGAGAGCAGACAATATCTACACGGTGCAGGGTGGGACGTGACAGATGGTATCAGAGCCAATTGCCAGCTGGAATTTTTTCTGGGAGGGGGGAGGGGGTGTGAAGAGAAGTTCCTGACATTTATAGGATAAAGTTTCCATACTTTTTTGGCAGCCTTCTTTTGTTCGTGCCCCTGTGGGATTAGTAAAGATCGATGTCCGCCCCAGCCAGCCCATTCGACGAAGCAATATTGGACTAGTTAAGAAGTCAGGAATCGAGTGGCCGGGGACCTACGAATTGCTACGGAAGTTGTCCGAAGTATCACGTTTTTCAGCTTGACTTGACTTGACTTTAACCCTTTAGATGCGTTTTGAGCAAAACCATGGGTACGAAGAGGAGTGTGCAAAGCAGACAATATCTACACGATGCAAGGTGTGGGTCATGATTCTCGTGACATATAAATTGATCACACAATATGTGCACTTTATCCATTCTAGTTTAGTTTAATACAACTTGCTAAAGTTGATCCCGAAACAGCTGCTCTTGGATATTAGGTATAGGCTGTTATTCTAAAAGTAAAATTCTGTATGTCTAGTCTCCCACCTGCTGCTCTGAGAATATATTTTCATCAAGTGGAACTTTTTCATTGATGGAGTGCATGCACCATTAAATCTCTTTGGATACTGAACGAGTCAGTTCATATATAATTTAAATATCTATATGACTGTTCCAATCTTCACTTGTTCTTGTAGCTTCCATGTTTGTTGAACAAAACTACTCAATCTGGACCGACTAAGACGCATTTTGTCTCAGTTACAGACTCCATTGCTATGATAATTTGCCGTCATATTAACAAATGTCCTTACACACTGTACCTATGTTATAACAGATTTTTGCTTAGATAAATGTGTAGATCTCACTTACATAAACTTTCCTCTTGGGGCTAACCTCACAAGGGGGACCAAGATTAGCACACGGAATTGGGTCATAGCGTGTGCCTGGAGAGGAGTGGCCCATTCAAAGGGTGAGGCTGTACTCATATCGATCATGTTTTAAATACCAGTGGCTGTGTAATAAGATGTCCTATTATCTCTGTTTAAGAAACCATTTCAATTTTGTTGTTATGCATAGCTAATGCTGGTTTTGCTGTAAAGTTCAAATGTTTCCCTTATTCCGGTTATTCCCATTCTCTCTCTTCTACTTATAGATATTGGTTTAAGTTCAAATGCTTCAATCTATACTCTGTTTCCCATTCTCATTAACTTAATGAACGCAAAATATAATGTGAACTACTTATTTTCTTGTGCTGTAGGTCAGGACAGGACCTTGTCATTGTGCATTTCCTCAATATTGTGATTCTCAAAGATAGGAAGGGGGTGGTTTTACACTGATTTAAGGTCTGAGCTCTTTCTATCGATGATAAAGATTCTCGTGAAGATGGTTTGAGTGGAGGAAAACAATCATGAATTTGATTCTTGTAGTGCAAGAGCATCAAAGATGGGCTGTGGGGAAAGAAATTGCAAAAATGGCGACAGTGCTTCTATTTTGCTTTATTTGCATTGGCAGATGAGAGAAAATATCTTGGCGATCAGATGTTATATGGAACTTTTCTAGATCAATGTGATCTTACATTTAACAAAATTCTTCAATTTGGCAATTCTTTCCGGTTGCAGTTTCTTTCATTTTCCATGCTATTGATCTTGGATGACATGCTTAAACTTAATTCATAATGTCCAATTCTTACTTTCCAATTGCAATTACTTCAATTTTGTTCTTTTCATAAACTCTTTTGACGGCAAATTGTATAGATCGACTCTTAACTACCATTGTAAAAACCAGAAGCTTGTGACGTGATGCCTCACCCAAAAACTTAAACTATAAAATATAAAAACTTATGGTCTAGTGCTTATATTTGATACAGATGATATACTCTCCAATTTGAATATTGAAACTTTCTTTGAAATCAAATTTTGCAGAAGCATTTTTCAATCCTCTCCTTTGTCCACAAAACTGAATGTTTGACTTTAAGCATCTTTTTGCATAGAAAGTGAGAGAGAAATTAGTTCCATCAAACAATAGAAGTCTTTGCATGTACAACCGTTTAATTTAATTTCTCAAGAGAATTAAGAGTCATATGATACTATGCAATTGCATCAAATAAGATGCAGCACTATCATTACTTTACACATCCAAACCGATGCGTGATTTCAAAAACTAGAACCAACAAACCCTACAAAACCCTAATTAACTATGTGCCTCAAGATTTGAAACCCTCAGGTACTGCAAAACCAATCTCAAGACAAAATAAACAAAGCTTCATTTCAAAATCATTTAATTGCTTGTTTACAAATGAGTTTGATGTGATACATTATGCTTTATGGAAGTGAGGTCCTGATGAATCTAAAGTATTGTTTGCGTTATGTTTGGTTGTTCAAAAAACACGAGGAAGAAATAAAGTGATGACTGCTGTGAGATGTAACATATATGTGGACGCTCAATAAATGGTAAAAGGAAAGGGCTATTTTTTAATTTTTGGAAAAATTGGACAAAAATTGACATAAAGTAATTAATATGATTAAATCTAAATATCACATATTTAATATGATTAAATCTAAATATCTCATATTTTGATGTTCTGTGTGACTTTGATTCTAAACATCACCACAGCCCCAAGTCAGCTGGAACTAATGTGGATTACAAGCCCCTAGCATTATAACCTAACATGTTTCTTTGCTCTTCTCACCTTTGCAATCAGAGATGTAATTTGGATGCAATTACAATTATAAATAAAGTATAAACATGGAAAAACTAAAATCTAACGCTAACCGTTAGTGGATTTCACATCCACATTCAACCAGTAAACTGATTTTTATTTACACAAGTGAAAATTGCCATGCCAAATCAGGGTTATAGACCACCAGCAATTTCTCCTGCAAAAAAATATACACATGTAATTACCAAAAACTATTGAGAAAAAAAGTGAAAAGTTTTATACATGCTTTATACAATTTATAATTCACATTTATATACAAGGGTAATTCTAGGAAAAATAAGAACTGTATAGAAGCTAGCTCAGTAACCAAGATCAAATCATATCACTATTCAACCCATAGCAAGAAAAACTATATCAAATACAGTCCAAGAGAAAGAAGAATCGAAGTACACTCCAGAGCGAATATGGCACAAACATAGTAACAGAACACCTATTTTAACATCTCTTGTCACGTGAATGGCTTGGTTTAGAAGAATCGAAATATACTCCAGAGCGAATATGGCACAAACATAGTAACAGAACACCTATTTTAACATCTCTCGTCACGTGAATGGCTTGGTTTATCAGAATATGACTTTGCAAAGAGTCTAATAGAGACAACAATTATCGTGACTGAACCATAAATGGTTGGACGAATCCTTGTTAAGTTCATGCGCAAAACATGTGAAATTGAGTTGTCCTGAGCACCACCAAGTGCCAGAGTTTCATTCTGTTCTACTGTTACCAAGTGTTAAAAAACTACTGGATTGAATCAAACGCGACTTTAAAATGCAGTTCAAAGCAAATAATATGCTTGCTCATCCTACCCATCAAAGAATTTTGCCTCTCATAGAAGGCATTTTGATATTGTAACATTTTATTCTATATTGCATTCAAAATGAGTCAGACAAGCTATTTATAACAAATGAATCTATTAAAGAAACATATATCAAATCATTTATAGGATTTCAAGACATGTCATCATTGGAATTGTATTATGCTTTTTGAAAAGAAAATTGGAATTGAAATAAATTAAAACATTTTTGTGTGGTAAAGCATTCAAACATCAGCTCACTGAATAATTCCTAAAGATAAAAAGAGAAACTGAATAAAAACATGGAGCAAAAATACATAAAGAATGAAATGTGGCGGTGATCAGGATCATACCATGCATGCATCTAATGAAGTAATCCAACTCTGAGAAGTATATTGTCCTTTGAACCAAAGGCAATGGCTGTTGATATACAAAGAATGAGAAGTGGCGGTGATCAGGATCATTTCTTGGCTTTGCAGTCTCACCTATTCTCATGTACCCATCTCTATCATGACATGGAAGTGCATTTTGACCAGCTACAGTCAATCCGCGATCCCAGGCCGAATTTAAAACCTGTGGGAAAAGCAGCTGAAAAATATCAACAATTCTATGCAGCTGCCAGCATAAATTATAGAAAGCATAACAATATAACAGGGTTGTCTGCCACTTCAAACCCAAAAGAGCTTTGGAGGTCATTAATATTGAACCAAGTCTGCTGGAATTACTTAAATAAAGAAATAGCTATACATCATTAGGACAAAAACACGAAGTGAAAAGGACATAACCAAGGGAAATTACCTGCCAGCTCAAGCCATCTGGATCAGCCAATGCTTCATCAATTTCCTGACAAGAGACCTGCAATCCTGAGCACATAAACTTCATTGTCACCGAGTGTTTTTTAAGAACCTGAAAAACTGGGGAGTAACCATCCTGGTTTGTAGGGTTATAGTATCCAGCTGTGAGCTCTGCTGCATGGCTTGTAGTTTTATACCACCAATAGACTGCCGGAATCTGCACAATTGAATCTTTTGTTTACAGTTCCATATCTCTGAGGTGGCACAATGAAAGCCTACAGATCAATGATATATGACCCCAGGAAATGAGGGATAAGTGGAGTAATGGGTCTTGTCCAATTCTTGTCAATCAACTGATTATGGTTAAATTTTATTTATATTTAAATCATATCCATCACAAGTAATTAAACAACCGTCTTTACATGGAAAGCACCAAAAGGAACAAACTCCATTGCTTGCGGAATCATGGAATGTAGTGCACTTGACAGGCACTCCAGAACCCAACAATGCTCATGAAAACCTGGTTTGGTTGCAGTCAATTGCCCTTTCCGTTCTCATTAAAAAATAAATAAATACTACCATACATGTCTGCTATCCCATTTCCGTGCATCCAGTAGGAATCAAATCTAAGGATCATTACATATAATTCAATTAAGATATAGCATGAAAGTATGATTCCTTCCATTCTCCTTTGAGAAATGGAGAATTTTTTATTGGGTGAGTTAAAATTTGCAACCTAGTATCATTAAATCAATCCAAAGTTGTGCTGTAGTACCAATAAATCAATCCACCATGAAAAGAAAAAATATTAACATAATCAATAGGTATACACTTTTATCCCATAACCGAAACCACTCCTCACGCAAGTATTAGCAACTCACTCCTTTGTGAATCACTAAACACCGAATGTAATGGGTCACAGAGTCCGATGAAAGGTGTGCAGTTGTAACAATCAAAGATGATGAGACCGTAGGGTCTGTTAATGGAAGGACATCCAGCCAAGTGAGTGGACTAATTACAACAGGCCCAAACATCAAGGCGAAAGAATGAGTCTCATCGTTAAGGAGGCCCGGTGAGCAGAGGCAAAGATTTTGCAGAGGAAAATAATGACATGATTAAAACAACCATAAATGGCTTTGTAAAAACCACCTAAAAATGACCACTTGCCATGTTGACTAAGACAGTACCCGTATACCGTTCGAGATGAGCTTGCTGTAACAAGGTGTTGCCTCTTTATATGGCCTCCCCATCATAAAGGTGGTCAAATTGGTCAGAGAGGACATGGCTTATAGAAGACACCGCAGTATGATTCAGGACCACTATCTACACACTTCTAGAGATTAAGCTTGTCAGATAGTTTCCCTGTCACGTTTGTGGTGAATCACTTAAACTTAGCAACACTTTGGATCTATGTAAGCAACTGATGGTGTAACTCCACGCACATCTTTAGTTTGTTCACACCACGATCAAAAGAGAGACAGTTGCACGCCTGGTGTGATGACAAAAAAGTCTAGATCATTGGCACATTGAAAATTGATATAAATACAAACTTGCTTAGAAAATGAATGTGAATAATGCCTCTCTCTCCGGATATCTTGCCTAGCCTTCTCCTGCCTTCGTCAAAACAAACGTCCTGTCCTACAAAATTACGAATCACTTCTCTCCAAGGTCTACCCCAATAAACATAGAGATACAGCAGTATCTCTTATATAATTGTGTGGTTAACAAAATTTGATATCTACTTGAAGCTCCTTCGAGACCCAATTACATAGCCACTGTAATCATGTAACAATACTAATCCCATATATTGTGAGAATCAAGACACTTATGTTTTCTTCCCTCTCAATTTCCATCAAGGCTCTGTTCATTTCATTGCAGAACATTTTCTAAAAAATGATTTTTACAATTTCTAGTGTTTGGTTGCACAAAAAATAGTAAAACATTTTTACTGTCTTTGGACCAAAAATGACTTGCAAATGCAAAGTTCGTTAGTCACTTTATGCAAAGTCACTCGATACCTTTCTCTCACTCCCGCTACGCATTTCTTTAATCGCATTTTTGTTAGTCTCTCATCAAATACATAGTAATACATAATATATTTATGCACATAAAATACCACTAGAAGTTGTGTCCCTCCGATCATCGTCCCGATGACAACCACCACCACATCAATCTCTCTAATCAGTGTCCCGATGACAACTATCACCAGATCAATCGCTCTGATCACCTTGCAGTGACAACCACCACCAGATTCAACCTAACACTAACTGATTCAACCCATACACCTCAAGACCACACCACCAGTCTTCAAGAGACCTTCAATGAGACTCAAGCTTGTACATGCATCTAGAAGAATGACAACCTCAATAATCTAACATTATATATTCACAGGTTATTAGCACAGCATCAAATAAGTGAACACGAGCTCTGCGTCAATCAGGAACTAACTTGTGACATGGAAACTTGAAGAAGTATTAAAGCGGATAATGGATGGAGTTAATTAAAAACACCAGCAACTTTAATGGACACAGTACTCCGATAGGTCATAGTATTGAGATAATACCATATATGGTTAATTATCTTCCATCGAACATAAGCTACAATGCAAATCAGCATCCTAAAAATCAGTATAGATTGTGAAATAAGTACCTTAACAATAATATGTGTCTCCTCGAAGGCAAGACTTGCAAGTGACAAGACATTATCAGCATGATCTATCAAGGACTGAGCATACCAATGGAGGAAAAAGCGTCCATAATAGCTATCATAGTCACCTCGTTCACAGAAAAATCCAGTTTCATGTGGTTTAGAATTGTACTGACCAGCATTATCAGGCCCCCTGGCCCAGAATGAGTGCCCACGCAGTTTTGCGGCTTTTCTTAGATTCTGTTGTAAATATTTATCATAGCACTGTAAAAAGATTGATACTGTGTCACTGGGATTATTTAGAGAATACAATGGAGTTTGGCACAGCTAACATAAAGTTTAACAGGTCATTCATCAAAGAGTCGTGAAAGTACAAAGCAAAATATACAGGATTGATGCATGAATTCAAATTCTAGAAAATAAAAAAGTGAAATATCAAAATAAACTAGAATTAAGCTAAATAGACCACAGTTGATTTCAGACATTAAATTGATTGTTCCATGATAATTAAAATGAAATCCGACGACTAGGTAAAAAAATGCAATGCAACATTGTTGAACCCACCCTGCACGTGGGTTAGATTTAGCATTTCCCCTCAAACATGTCAGTGCATAGTTAGCTAATTCTTTGCCAGTACCATTGTAATATAACATGTCTCATGTTATTTCAAAAAGTCACTAAAAATGGTAAATAGCATTAGGTGTGGTTAGACGAAAGACACAACATTATGTGCAAAGAGATAGCTGCTTGTTAAAAAAAGTCACTAAAAATGGTACTTGGAGACTCTTAAAGTGAATGAATTGTAATTTAAATAGCTGCTCGCTTTAAAAGAGTCTCTAAAAATGGTCTTTGAAGACTCTTGAAGTGAACGAATTGAAATTTAAAGAAACTAGGGGGTCAAACTAGTATGTTCAAACAGCAGCAAGAACTTGGTACAGTAAAACCATGTTATAAAGCTTGGATATGCACGGGATTGAAGAAACCTCTGAAAAATATAAGAACTAGAAAGATCAGGAGGTGACAAGGGAGGTTAAATTTTAAGCATATAAAAATTGGACCATAATTTGAAAATAAAATACAAAGCGCAACTACAAGAAGGGATATATGAAGTGGGGAGAGTTAATTGACTTAACATGTTGGAATTAGAGAGTATGAAGAGAGGGAGAGTTAGTGAATTAAAATATTAGGTTTAACCCCCCCAACCCAAATCTACTTACGTAGTTGTGAATCCACTGGAAAAGCTCCAACGTGAGTACTCCCACAAATATTACATCATAATCTTCTTAAACACCTGGAAGACTTAGTTGTACCTATTTCTTGTGACCAAGTATTAAGCAGTCATGTGGACAACCCGAATGTTGGATTAAAGCAGAGTATACTAAAGTATGCTCCACAGTAACTCAACTCAAAAGTTAGGATAGTATTGAGAAGCTTTAATAATAGTATATTAGCTGTCCCATAGAAGTTGTATTCTTCAATTCTGGTTGGAAAAAACATTCAAAGGTAGAAAATTTTCATCTTGAAAGAAGCCATTGCTGAAATTAGCATGTCATGATTAAAGCTAAGAAGTTTGGAAACATTGTCATGGCAAGAAGACTAAGAATAATTGCACACCATTAGATGTGGTTCATTCTCTCATTTTCTATTGTGGCACCATTGTAAGTGAGAGACTTTGTTTTAAATACTTTGTGAAACAAAATGGGCCCACTCAAATTCCAGGGAACAACTAAATGCCCGTAAGATGTTCTCTGCTAAAATTTATTTTCACAGCAGGAAAATGAAAAAGAAAAGAAAGGAAAACAGAACAGGAGACCAAGTCATGGTGAGCTACAAATGAACAGTCTCAACTTATTCCATCATACCACTCTTGTAGCCACATGAGAAGCAGGAAGTATTAAGATCAGAAGATGCATAATACAAAATCAAACAGTTTCTCCAGTCTCTCATGGGAGCTCATGTACATATAGACGAATGGAGAGACACAACATAGGGTTTACTTCAACAGATACCTGAAACTCACCAATGCCAGGATATCTCCATCCCATCCTTTCTGAAAAAGAAGGGTATTTTAACTCCCCAGCAGCTCCCATTCCAATTTCAACAGCAGAAATTACACCCTCGGCAAACAAATCATCAAACTCTGTTCGGAAGCTTCTCATGAAGTCAAAATAGACCTGTTAATTAGAGAGTTCAAATGAATAAAACATCAGATGGCCTGACATAGAACTTAAGATATGTGCAATTACCTCTTTAGAACTTGGAGAACTATACACAAGGACAACTGCTGTTTGACCACCATATCGACAAAGGCTTATATACAGACTATATGGAGCATAAATCCTTAACAAAGAGGTAACATATATTCCACTTGGGTCAACTGCAATTTTCTTCAGAAGTTTGGAAGGTGCCATTCATTTAACATGAAATTTTACAAGATGACAAGAAGGCCAAAAGGAATAATGGAGGGGTAGAGTTGAAGTAAAAAAGAAAACTAATTATAATATTGTTCAGAATGAGAAAAGAAGATTGGTGCTACGATATAAGTATAATTTAGTACCTCTATACCAGTTCTTCCTTTCATTACTCGTTCTTTGTCAACACCCCAAGATAGGCATTCCGTATTTCTCCTTCCTTCACGGTCCGTGAAGAATATATCTTGGTTTTCTTTTCCAATCTCCAGCACCCACTGAGGCAGGGTGATGAGCACACAACCAGAATCATTTCCTCCATACTCGTGAAATGCCATCACAACCTTCAGAAGAAAAGAAGAGATTTAATACCCATTTAACTGCTTTTCAAGAGGAGATTCTTGCCATACATCAATTGGGATTAGCCGATTAGGTACTCTTCATGCATTTTTGAATGGGTAAAAAGAAGATATTCAAACTTGATGAGGCCATATCTTGATGAGATCTTTGACATTTACATGCACAGAGGACAACCTGGTTGCAGTGGAAATCGTAGAAAATTGTGATGCATCTTGAAGCTCAGTGTGGTTCAAAAAAGATGAACATTAGAGGTACTTGATGGCAGGTTTTAGTCATGAATTTGAGAATGCTTCCCATATGCAAGGTTTGAAATTTAAAAGGGCAGGGAAATCCTTTTATGTTGATAAACTAAACATGAATAGTGAAATCTTTAATTACCTGCAACTTCAGCTCAAACTCTCTGATGATGTTAAACAGTTCCCTGTATCCAAACCATTCGTATTTCTGCGGGCTCCAAGCTTCAACAATGCCCCACCAACAGTCCACGACAACACCATCAACATGCAGAGACTTCAGATATCTCAACTCCTGCCTAATACGTTCGGGATCAACCAACTGGCAGAAATTGTTGATTATACCAGTCTAGACCAGAGAAATAACATTCAATAATAAGAATTAAGAAAATCAGTGAACATGAAGACAAACTGGTTACACAAATTGTTAATACAGAATACACAAATAAAATAAATAAATAAATAAAGAAGAAGAAGAGGGAGGAGCAGGAGGAGGGGGGAGGTGGGGATAGAGAATGTGCCTGCTAGTAATTGTAATTTGTAAATCTAATGATAAGTAGTGAACCAAAGCAGGAAAAGCAGCTACTTACAGCAAGCATTACATAAACAGGGACATAGGGAGTTCCGGTAAAATCACTTCCATGCTCCCCTGAACGAACATCTTGCATAAGCTGCAATTATCAACCAAATTATCAAGGGTATTTCTAATTGTACGACTTGAAACAGAACCAATGTCTTCATACAGTGACACCATGAAATTCATAACCAATGTGTATATCAAATATGAGCAACTATCAATAAAATATGCCTTAAAATTTCACAGGTCAAAGGAATTAAGTATTCATTGATATGCAATATTTCAAGCGACAATCTATCATCTACAGAGTCTCAATAGACATGTCAACATCAACATCTAAGTGTCAAATATCATATTAAATACACCTATGATATAATGAAATATCCTTGTTATTACCATAACTTGATGACATTATTCAGTAGATCACCACTTGTGCCAAAAGTTTAAGATGTTAAGAAATGGGCCTAATAAAATTATATATATATATATATCAAACTCTCACAGGCTCTCACACATAACTCCCTCTACAAACAACAAATAAAATGAACTTCAAGAATGCTGTAAAAACAAACTAACATCATAGGGGAACAAACACAAATGGACAGGACTTGATCTTAAGAGTACCAAAAGTAAAGCCCTAATACCTTGTTAGATGAGGAACCCTCTTAGTATTTGAAGCATGCACTTGTCGTGTGGGTGGAAGGTTTTAAGCTCCTCTCCCAATGAAGGTGGAGTTAGGCATGGGTTAAGCACAAGTGGGTTGCCTGGAGGGTGTTAAAGTTTTGGATCCTAGTGAACCTCCTCCTTGTTTCTCTTTGCATTTCAGTCCAAAATACAAGAGTTCATCACTAACTGAGCATGGAGAATCAAGGAAGAAATATCAACCTCAAATGGTGGGTGTCATCCACTGCTTGTTACATGGTTGATGGTTCATGAGAACTAGTTTGATCCATTTAATTGGCCTCTAGATCCTTTTTTTGGATATTTTCATCTTCAAATCCATTGAAGATTCATACAAAGGACTACTTCCTCGCGATGAAGCCCCACAGAATCACAATCACATCAGTGGCTCAGATGTCCATGAGCAGTACGGATATCTCCAGTACATCCACTGTTATGGCCGCAATTGGGTCATGAAGGATGGAGGATCCACATGGGTGGAAACTGCTAGATTTTTATTAGAAGAAAAATGCTGTGTGGCGTTTGAGCATACTAGAGTGGACATCATTTTTCACATTCAGTATCAGAGCAAAACTGTAACTGTTTCCTAATTTAGTATCACAGCAGTTTTCTCGATATCATGAGTTTGATCATTTACAATTTTCCAAAAACTTTTGCTGAACATGTTTTTTCGAAAATGTGGAATCTGAAATAAGAGAGGGTGGATTACTTTCACAACCTCCATCATTTGATGACACGAATTATGCCCATTGAAAGGCTCAAAAAAGCATTGTTAAAAGCATGAAAACATACTTATTATCACTGGATGAAAAAATGTGTAAGTGTTGTAGAAGATGTTAAGAGTAATCCTATGGTTATTACCACTGGTGGATGAGGCAAACAAAGTAACACACATCTGTTGTTTCCGACGTTCTCCAAGGTACTGTGATGGCTCCGGGACTTTGATCAGATACTCCAATACCAAGTTGAAATGTAATATTGTATGAAAATGGGGTAGAAAGGGAAGACAGAGGTAAAAAGAAGAGAAGAGAGAGAATGAGATACTCTCATCTCTACACTTGTATACTTAAATATATTAACTGAGGGACATTTATAAGAATGCCCCACTTTAGAATATTCCATTTTGAATACAACATATTATTTAAAATATTCTAACACAGTTATATTAAGAAAAGGGCTAGACAGAAATGGAAATTATCACTTTCATTCTTGCACGGATCATTCGGAATAGAACATTTGATGAAGAAGAATCACCAATACATAAGTTTAAGCATTTTAAGTTTAAGCATTTGATATTGAGTTCCTAAATTTTTGGCTGTCAGGAGGATATTCTTTCTCCTCCAATTATTTCCTTGATTTCTAAGCAGACTTAAACTTTTAGGAAAGAGCCTAGTCTTTTAGGACCCCCTTATCATCAAGTGGTACACGGGTTCAGTCTCCCTTAGGTCTTATAATGAAATTTATGATTTTATCAAAATAATAGCTGAACTTGTTTTGCATATCCCAACAATTGTTTCAGGTAAGTTGTTTTGTCTAAAACCAAAATGCCAGTTTTGTTTAAATATAAAATAGCTACAAATGATCCAAGGCATTTTTTAGTAAGAAAATTTGTTATAAGAAGATGATTATTAAAATGAAAAAAAAATTGTTCTGCATAATATAAATATCTAAGGGTATATGAAATTTCTTTTGTAGTTTTTCCTAAAATGGCCTTCTAATTCTATTGTTTGAGGACATCACAAATGTTTATAGCATTAAGTTTAGTCCTTTGAATGAAGAATAAAAGCTACCTAAAATTTTCATATCTGCTCTTATCATTATCAAATTCGTATTAATGTGGTGGTTGTTTAGTTGTATTTTATAGAATTGTGCAGATAGGTTATTTGCAATTTTCGTATTAATCTTGCAATATGTTTCAATATTACAACTGAAAATAGGAAATAAACATGATACTAAAATCAATTTATCAAATTGACTAGGTTAACCAAAGACCTAAAAATTTATCAATACCAAGCCCACAGATCCATAATAGGCATATAGAAATTATTGTGTGACAAATAACATCAAAGGTGTTGGTTTCAGAAGATGGAATGCTAATGTTTTTTCACCTGGCGGATGACTTGATAAATTCCAGTTTGAATCTACTAATTCGGTTTATTTTCCACATTCATAGGAATGTGCCTAGAGGAACCTTAGTCTGAGCCCTGTCCACCTACCTGTGTTCTCTCCGTCAGACCCTCATTTATCAATCATACACATGCCGGTTTCTTAACACATGATAAGATATATATTAGCCAACCTACAATATTTATATAGCATCAAACCTCCTAAGATTTTCAATTTACATGACATACAGAAAGTAAATCTAAAAACACGCAATCAACCAGAAAAGGAAATTTATAACAAAAAAACAAAAACAAGACATTAAAATAACTAATGAGGAGTTGCATCGCCATGGAAGAGAAAAAATCCCTAAAAAAGGAATTTCCCAGTAAATGTCCACCAAAAGGTGAACAAAGAATGGAACTAAAAGCTGTTCTAGAATACCTACATCATAAAAGTACAAATATGTTCAAGTTCAAGACAAGCACATTAGAGAAAGCCCACAAAAGTTACCTGGTCAGCCTCCAAACATTCAGGTGAGTTTAAGGGGCTAGAACTTGTATATTTATCACTCTTTGCATCCCTATCTGCAACTACAACAGAATCAAGAGATGCCGATGACAAACTCTCATCAATTCCAAGAACTGATGGCTGACAGTCTAATGATGCTTTCGTGGAACAATGCTTTAAAGAGCTAGCAGATATTGGGCTTTCAACTGACCTAACTGGAAATGCCCCCTGTGCAAAAATCATAAGGTTAAATGGTGGTAATAACAATATCATGTCATCGTGACAGTTACATTACACATTATGCACATATAAAATACAGAGAATTCATCATTTCAACAACAAACGAATACCCAAAGCGAACCGAAGTGAAGAGCTTCAACTGGCCAAAATATAGCATCATCATCATCCTTACCTTTATCCCATATGATTGGAGTCCATGTAACAATTCTCTTTTTCCATTTGATGTTGAATTATGAGACTTTCTTTAGAAATTACGTTACAGTATTTACAAGTAACCCTATCTTCTTCTATATATACAGTAATTAAATTTTTTTATCCTTGTGCCACTCTCCAAGTGTAAATAAAATTCATCTCTCTTTATTGAACATGCTGCTATAACTAAATCATATACCTTTGTGAATTCTAAGAGTTTTTCTTCAAAACCTTTTATACATATAACGCCAGTTCACGACAATCTGGCGCCTTTTCCACAGGTTATCAATCGTCAAAATCCTCCCCAAAACGACCGTCCACCCAAAGAAAGCAACCTTAAGAGGGGCTTTAGCATTTAGCACGTCAAACTACCTTCCAAGGGATAGATGGCCCCGATCATCTAAAAGCCTCTGATAGAAAGATCACACCTCAAATCTCCCATGTCTGGAATCCATCCAATACCACTCATCAAAGCCCTTCCCAACCAAGGACGGAGCCAGTTAAGGCTCGAGGGGGGCACGTGACCCCCCTCAACTTTTAAAAAATTGCATTTTTGTATGCATAATTCTTTAAAATGCCCCCCCACCTCGACTTTAAAAAAAAAAATCATTTTTGTATGTATAATTCTTTAAAATCCCTCCCCCAAACACCCCCCCCCCCCAAAAAAAAAAAAAAAAAAATTTAAAAAAAAAATCATTTTTGTATGTATAATTCTTTCAAATTTTAAAATTGCCCTGCCTCAAAAAAATTTATTCCCCTGAACATAATTTCTGGCTCCATCCCTGTTCCCAACCACATTCTGACAATATAGTAAAGCCAGCAATATCCTCCATCTCCTAATCCTAAAGATGCCTCTCAAAGTGCACAACCCATGTCCCCCTACCGTTATCAAGCCGATAACAGTCGGCAACCGAGATTTGCTTATCCAAAAGCACTGGGAATGCACGCACAAGCGGTGAATCTGCACACCAAGAAAATCTACCCAAAATCGAATATGCCCCCCACTCTTCACCCTAAACCAAAAAAAAAAAGCTTTGAAAATTCATTCTACCCCTTCCAAATGAGCTTCCAAACCCCCACCCCTGCTGGAGAACTCACCTCCATAGAGCTTCAACCACCCCAATCCTCCCTAAATTTGCTCTGGAGAACTCTCCTTCATAATCTGTTCCTCTTCACCCCGAACCGCCAAAGCCACTTGTCCAACAAAGCTTTGTTGAATGGATCAAACCTCCTAACACCCAACCCCCCAAGTTGAATAAGGCTACAAACCCTTTTTTAATAAGTACAATAAGGCTACAAACCTTCTCCCAATTCACTAATATTTGAACTCATTGCCCATGCCACCCCATATAAAATCTCTTTGCAGTTTACCATTCCTCTTTGCAACGGATGTAGAAATACAAAGCAATGAGAGAAAGTAAGTTGGATGACTCGAAAGGTACTATACAGCCCCCTTTCGAAAATATTGTTTCTTCCAACCAACAAGTGTCCTCTCAAACTGCTCCACAACTAGATTTAAGAGGCAACCCTCCTTGATGATGCCCCCTAAGGTACGCCCAGCTACAATACCCCAGAATATTAGCCAAATAGGTTATCCCACCAACCTTCCCCATTAGAACAATCTCATTCTTCCCAAGATTGATTTCAGCTTGAAGATGGCCTGAAAACACACCAACACACCCCATGTACCTCAACTGCTCCTCTGCCGCCTCACAAAAAAAGATGGTGTCATCCACAAAAAGAAGATGCAATACCTCCAACTTTAAAAGAGTCCCTGCCTACCTTGAATCCTCTTAAATACCCCAAATCCACAGCCCTCCGCATCAGCTTATTAAATGCTTCCATCGCAATGATAAACAAAAAAGGGGACAAAAGATCCCTTGCCTCAAATTCTGGGAGCTAGAAAAGAACCCGTTCACCAAAACTGACAAAATCGAATCCACGGTCCACCTTCTCTGTCTCTCACTAAAACCTATCCTCTCCGATATATATATATATATATATATATTAAAAATAAATATAAATAAATAAATAAACTAACATCAACTCATATGATCATAAAAGCCTCCTCAACATCTAGCTTACGTTTCCCAACACCCCACTGCTAACATGGAGTCCACACACTCATAAGTGATCAGAAGTGAATTTAAAATTTGTCTTCCTCCAACAAATATGCTCTGAGATTCCAAAATCACACCATCAATAACTTCCCTCAACTATGAGGCTAGTACTTTAGCTTTTGGTTTGTACATGCTACTAACCAAACTAATATGCCTAAAGTCCTTAACTTCAATAGCCCCACCGTTTTGGGGACGAGAGAAATAAAAGCAGCACTCATATACTTCTCAAACTGACCTTTGATAGAATCCATTACCTCTTTCCCAACCACAACCCAGTTCTGTTGGAAGAATCCCATGGTAAAACCATCCAGCCATGGAGCATTGTCCCCATTGCAACTCTTCAAAGCCAATCTCCATCCTCCTCTAAAATGCTCTCAAACTCCAAACCATTCAACAAAATCTCCAACTGGAATTCTTTGTGTAAAATTGTTGGTAAAATGAGGCAATCCCTCTACTAACATCCTCTTCCTTACTGAACAGTTCACCTCGATATGGATTCTCCCAATGTGGTTACTCCTCCGATGAGCTTCAGCCAATCTATGGAAAAATCTCATACTTCTATCCTTTTCTTAAGCCACAAAGCCCTAGACTTTTGGCATCACGATATCTCCTCCAACATAGCTATCTCACCAATCTTCACCTTGCATTCCTCCCTCCGGCACTTCTCCACATCATCTAAACACTCCATCCTTTCTTTTACGGTCCAACTCTGAAATCTCCATCAGAAGTTTGTTCTTTCATCATTCCAAGTTACCGAACAACTCCTTATTCGACTTTTCTACTCATAATTTATTTATGCTACTCCAAAATGGTGTTTTTTTGTAGACGTGTTCATTGAATCATTATAGCAAAATATTTTGCACTTTAGTGGAATCCATTTTTACATAGGTCCCAATGGGGAAGCTCGACGTGGGCATGCTTAGAATGAAAACCTCAATTCTAGAGTTAGCTTCTGAATGGCATGCGCTGAAATATTGAAGGTTGGACCAAGTTTTGGCCAAAAAATCCACCTTAAATGTCCGTAGACTTCGACATATCTATTAAAATCGACGAAATTTGGGGCATCAATTAGCAGCACTAATCTAAATATAAATCAGTGACAACTAAAGAATCCTTAGTCTTGAAACATGGAAGGTGATTATCATTTACGAGAAAAATCAACCACAACAAAGATGGAGATTGGTCCTTAGTGACCCTAACAGCGCCAATAAAAAGACCACACATGAAACCAAGTGGCTTCTGCAGTCAATGGGGCCCTATAACCTAGTATTTTAAGGAACACATTCACTAGATTTGCATGTCTGAAAGCTTCGAACTAATGTTTTCAAATCTTGTATGTTTTGGCTAATAACAATGACCAACAAAAGGTTCTATTAGTTTATCCCACCATGCTGTCTCCCCAAGCCAGATCTATAAAATTCATGAAGCATTTACTCACAAAAATAATCCTCCAGAAAGCATGACATCCCTTGAACAACTTTGTGAATTGAATACAATATCACTTTTTATCCCATTCCTTCATGCAGTTCAACTAAAATATGATCAAAACATGAATCACTTCCATATGGAACTTTAACTCTTCAAACCAATGACTTGATACTCTCACCACCCCCAGAATGAAACATTTACAATGAATCCACTACTTCATTTGTTTGCAGGCCTATTAAGTGGAAAAAGAGAGTAAATTCTTGGAAGTGAAAGCTTCAGTTGAGATGGTGGAACCGAGAGCTTACTTGAAAAGCTCAAGCACCTTAATAATTGATGGCTTAAATAAACCAAAAATCCCTTACATCTAAATTAAGGGTTGCATCAACTTCTTGAACCTGGACATTAAGAATATTCAAATTCTATTCTGCACAAAAAGGCTAACACCTGTCAACTTCTCACTTGAAAAGGTCATTTAACTTCCTTCTTGCTTGACAATAGCTCACATTCCCACATTCCATGAATTACATAATTCTATTAAATTGTTCAAAGGCCTTTGGTGCTAGTTTTGACTATTAAAAAGCAACACCCCTCATATATTTATGGAACTGCATATATGGCCTGAATTTCCAATTGGAACTCCTTTAACAAAAACTCATGGAACTGCATATAAGGCCTATGAATACAAAATGACGAGGGAAAAAAAAAAAAAAAAAAACAATAATTAATTTGTCCACTAAATTTCATTACACCCACAAAATCCTTTAGATTCAATGTGGCTAAGACCCAACCAACTCTCCAGTTTTATTATTATTATTATTAATATATCTTCCCTTTGCCATTGAGTTAAAATAGCTCATGGGTCCAAACCCACCTAGTATAAGCAGAGAGTGGGCAAAAGAGATGAAATTATACACACAAACTGAAGATAAAAGTAGATAAAACTTCAATAGAAAGAAATGGGTATAATGATTAACCAACCATATGAGAAGGAGGCGGAGGAGAGGGGCGATAAGTGGTGCCGTCGGCTTCAACAGTCCAACCGGCCTCCCGGGCAAGGGCGGCCAGAACATCGTTCATGTCGGCGCGTGCCGGGAGAGGGAAATTCCCGTACTGGCGGAGGCCGGCGAGCATTCGGCTCGTGATGGCGCGGCGGTGGCGCTCGCGCAACTTCGTCCGTTCTTTCTCCTTCTCCCTCTCTTTCTTTCCCTTTCCACCGGCGGTGACGGCGACACCCATCGCCGCCGCAGCGGCCGCCGTGGCGGCGAAGCCACGAGGGCGGCGCTGCTGGGTTTGGGTTTGGGTTTGGGTTTGGGTTTGGAGTTGGGGTTGGAGAGGGTGAGGATGGGGTTGAGAGTAGTGATCAGAGCTTTGGGGGTCCAGATCTTGTTTCGGGTGGCTGTTATTGCTGCTGTTGCTGTTCATTTCTGCAGCATTATACTCTCCTCTTTGCTCTTCCACATCTTATATACTATATTCCCCTCTCTCGTTAGTGAGCTTCGCTTTTTTCTCGTGTCCCTCTTTTGTGCTCTTTTCTGAGACTTTAAGGGCAGAGTTTTTTCCTTTTTTTATTTTTTTCACTGTAAAAAGAAAATAAAATAAGTAAAAAGGTTCGCCAGAGAAGAAAATTCGGGCCTTTGATTCTTTGTAAAAGACAAAGCAATCAAGAGAGAAAAAAAATCAAACATAAAACGAGGGAAAAGGTGGGGGAATTTTGAGATAATCAAGAATTTTAAGATTTGTTTGATTGTAAATCTAAAAAAATTCTCCAAAAAAAAAAAAATTTGTTCTCAGATAATTATACAAGATCACTCCATGTTACTATGTAGAGAATATTTTGATTAATCGTGTCACAAACAAATGATAAAAAAAACGTATGTAAAATGTTATAGGTTATATTGAGTTGGATTATATTATTATTAAATCAAATTGATCATGAATTAACTTAACGAATTAGGGAATGGGAAAACTTAAAATTTGAATTAGTGAAAAAGTCACTTTATACAATGTAATTTTATAGGAGTATTTCACAACTTCAATACAAATACATAAATTTGTGTTTCTGCGCTTGACAAAAGTAATCTCATATTCATTTTATATCCAAATGCACATAAAAAAAAAATGTTTAGTTATAGAGTGAGAGAACTTGTGGTACATGTGAAATGTGGAGAGTTTAGGTGGCTCCAATGGTTAAATCAGTGCTTCACAGCTTCTCCTTGCGTAGCTTTAGCCGTATCTTGAGAAATGCAACGGGGTGGCTCATGTCTTCGCTAAGCTGTCGAAGTGCCATTTGTCGTCTGATGTAGTGCTTGTACATAGTCCAGTAGATATAGTTGCTCTTGCTGCTAGTGATTGTAATACCTAAGCTTTGTTTGTCCTTGCCAGGGAAAAAATAATAATAAAATATAAAAAAAAAAAGGTAGAGAGGTCGTCAAAACGAGTCCTAGCCATCCGGAGAGAGTTATGAGTTACGTGGAAGAGTTAGAGGGAGAGAGTCATGCGTGGGAGACTCAAAGTCATGAGTGGGGGATATGTAATCCCACATTATTTATCTGATTTGCGACTAAGCTGGTTGAGGTGGTTGAGGCAGAACTTTACACTGTCAAGCAAATATTCCTGATGCTACAGTCTAGTGGGCTTGTAAACTTTGCTTTAGTTGACTTAGGCACTTCGGCTCCAATCAAAGAGCTTCTTTAACTTAGGGTGTGTTTGGTAGGGTTGATTTGGAGAGATAGAGGGAGAAAAGAAAAGAGGGAATAGTGTAAGAGTATATTTGGGTGGGTTAAGTAGGGAGAAAAGAGAGGATTGTTAGGGATAGTTCCTTGAATACTTTCTCTCTTAATTTGAGAAGATAGGGAGAGATAAAGAGGGATAGTAAATTATAAATTATTAATAATAAAAGTGCCTCTATAAATTAACAAATAGAAATGTAATTCCATTTATATCCTAATATGCTTAGTGGAATGCAATGATATATGATAATGCTAAAAGTTATTAAAAATTTTAGGATGGGAAGGGATTGAGTCGGATATGTATAACAAATACAACAAAAATAAATTTTTCACGTACTCATAAAAAAGGTTAAAGACTGCTATTTCCTTCAACCATGTTAAATGGTTCATCTTAACCTCGTGATACTTATTATTATTATTTACTTTTGTTTTTACCTATGGCATTGAACTATAAAAAAGTAGCAAGATTTTAGAAATGGATAATGTATGAAGTAAGTTATGAAAGGATAGGACAATAATTTTGTGACTATTATTACTTAATTTTTCTCTCTTCTATCTTATCCAAACAATAATATTTAGCCTTTCTTTTCTTTTCTCTCCTATTTATCCAAATACGAGTAAAAATTATTACTATATTTTCTTTTCTTTTCTCTCATAACTAATATTATCATTTATTTTCTGTATATCCAAACACACTCTTAGTGAATGCTATTTTTGGCATTTTCAGTTATACAGTGAGGAGTTCAAGGAAAAGTAACCTTCTCGTCATTAACCATAACAAATAGATAAAAACAAAATACAAGACTTGATCGTTACAAGCCTTTGCTCCTAACTACTTCCTATCATTAACCCAACTGAAAGTAAACTCCTACACTTTAACTCGCAAAGGATACTAAACTTAACCAACATTAATGAAATAAAATAGTTAATGGAACAAAGTAAATGTTAGGACAGAAAGTAATTGCTACACTAGGAAAGGAAACGTTTAGGACGAGTGACAACGACAAAGGCTTACACCTTCCGCTACAACGCAAAGGAGCAAGCTTCAAATAAGATCTCAAATTCCTGAACAAGAATAATTACAAATTTATATTATATATGTGTGTGGAGAGAAAGCAAGGGCGAGGTGAGTGGTACTGCACGTTAGTGGCTGACGAAGATGAGTGATAGAGAATTATTATTTGCTAATCCTTAATTTTTAATTATTTATTTTACTATATTGAAATTATATAATTTTAAGGAGAATATTTTGGTTTTTTAAAATAAGAGTGAGATATTTTGAACCTGAGTAATAAATATTGATATATTTATAATTATTTTGCTTAATAAATGAACTTTTAAAACTGATCTATTTGTTATTTAGGATTCCTAAATTTATCTAGCGTAATTTTCCTTTTAATTTTTTTATTTTTCATAGCATGACACAACAATGCAATATCAATAAATTTAAATTAATGCATCTTCAAAACAAAAGGCATTACTACATCAAATCCCAGATTCTGAAACAGAGTTTGTTCTTAAAAAATGGCTGAAGTGTACAGAATGAAGATATGTGTTAATATTCTTACCACAAACTTTTCTAAAATGAGTGGTTTATATAAATTGTATGATTAATGATAAAATTTGACCCTTTCTTTCCAGTTGATTCTCTTTTTATATGGTTGATATAATACGACCATTCTTTGTTGTTATTCAATCTCTGACAAAAAATTCTATCATATGGCAATAATTGAAGTGTGTGGAGGATAAGATTCTTTTTGCTTGGAGGAAAAGATTAGCAAACAGTAATTCAGCCAAAATGGTATCATATACAAAAACAATGGCTACCAGTTTCTCTCTCACACACACACACACACACACAGACACACAATTCCCTCATAATTTGCATACCAAATCAAGAAGAAAGTGACATAAATTGAAGCAGCTTCACATGGCAGGGTTAACATTTCTTTCCTGTGTCCTGGTTTTGGTGGCAAGCCTTCTCCTCCAGGGCTGCTACAATTATTTTGTCCACACCAATGACAAACATGTCACCCTGTTCATATTTGGTGATTCGTTTTTTGATGCCGGAAACAACAACTACATCAACACCACCACTCATTTCCAGGCCAATTTTTGGCCCTATGGCGAAACATTCTTCAAGTATCCCACTGGAAGATTTTCTGATGGTCGTCTCATCCCTGACTTTATTGGTAAGATCACAAGTCACAATCCTGATTTAGTCAGCACCCAACTATAAATTAGTTAGCTTCTCCCGGTAAACACTACTTACTCTAAAACTTGAGATAGGTGCTGTGGAGGAGGAGGTCCCTACTTTGACACTCCAAACACATTCAAGCACTGCTTTTCCTGAACTGCCCGTGCCTTACCCGGGAACTGGTGTTGGGGTTGCCCTAGTGTTCCTGTAGTTTAACCTCTACAAGTGCAATGGTACATCCTTCGGATTCTGAGGTTTAAGATGAATTCCAAGGATGCCGGATGGAAATGACCTAAGCGGGGCATGGGTCCTACCACATTCGGATGTACCAGACAAAACACAAAAGCAAAGAACATTACAGAATTGTTCATTGCTTACAAGGTGTACAACAAAATGCCACAGAGGGCACAAAACAGATAAATGAGACTCTGCAAGGCATTTGTGTCGTTGAAATGAATCTTCTGTTCCTGATCCAATTCTGCCCATTAACAAAGGAGGCTTCCTAGCATGAAAAGGACCTGTAGATCGTCCTCCCTCGTGCCTTATTTGCTTTGAAACCATGTGAAACACCAAGTGCATAAAAATCCCCCAAGGACAATACAATGCCATTAAGCCCTTTTTTTTTTTTTTGAAAGTTCAAGCACACACACACTATATATATTTTTGCCCCCACCGTGTCGAACATTCAATCTCCCCAAAGGGGGAGGAGGGCTTATAGCCTTATACCATGACTAGAACGTATTGGTTACACCTTACTTGCTTTAATACTATGTGAAACACCAACTACTTTTAAAGGTTTGAATTGTTACAGGGAGTGTTAAATATCTTTTGACATACTCTTGGAGTGTACGTTGTTGCAGCTGAGTATGCAAAGCTACCGCTGATTCCACCATATCTACAACCTAGCAATCATCGACATTACGAATTCGGGGCCAACTTTGCGTCTGGTGGAGCTGGTGCTTTGGTTGAAATTTATCCAGGGATGGTATGTGATGTTCTGCTTTAGTCCCCTTCTCTGAGATCACTTCACGTAACTGTCTTCCCCCTTGGTATAGCCTACTACATGCCCCAAATTGGATTAAAATTCAAAATATGTACCTATATATAATGCATTAATGTATAAGCATGAAAATTAAAATGCTATTTTTCTATAGTTATGCAGCGAAAAGCATTTGATCATTGATAGCATATATGGTTGTCTTCTGTTTTCTAGGTGGTTAACCTTAAAACACAACTAAGCTATTTTGACAATGTAGAGAAGATGTTGAGGAGGAAGGTAGGTGAAAGAGAAGCAAAGCAACTGCTGTCGAATTCTATATACTTGTTTAGTATTGGGAACAATGATTACTTGAGTGCTGTTAAGACAAACTCCAGCTTCTATCATTCATATTCTCAGGTAGAATATGTGGAGATGGTGATAGGAAACTTGACGACTGTGATCAATGTAATTAGTGACATTAATTTCATCCAATTTCCAATTCCTTTCTCTCTTTTCCCTTCCTCCCTCCCCTATGTCTATAATGTAGTGATTTTGGACACCCTCATTCTGGTTCTGATTTTTTCGGCATTGTTGATTTTGATTTTGACAGGAAATATACAAGAAAGGAGGGAGGAAATTTGGATTTCTTAGCTTGGGGCCCTTGGGTTGTTCACCAAGTATTAGAGCACTCAATTATTCAAGAAATGCTGGGGAAGAAATCACATCCTTAGTAAAACTACACAATAAGGCACTTTCCAAGACTCTCCATAGGCTAGAGAGGCAATTGGAAGGATTTATGTATTCAAATTTCAACTTCTACACTCCTTTTAGTGAAAGAATTGACAACCCATCAAAATATGGTATCAGTAATATTTCAGGACTATTTTATCAATCTCTTTATATAATTATATGTTTATATTTGTATATAATGCCTGCATCTAAGTACATATATAATACCCATTTTGTGATTGTGATGTGAAGGCTTCAAGGAAGGCAAGTCTGCATGCTGCGGCACCGGCAGTTTCCGAGGAGTTCAGACCTGTGGAGGAAAGAGAGAAGTGAAAGAGTATGAATTATGCAACAATGCCAGTGAATATGTGTTCTTTGACTCTAGTCATCCAACTGAATTGGCCTATCAACAATTTGCCAGTCTAATGTGGAGTGGACCACCTGATCTCGCACGGCCCTACAATTTGAAGGCACTTTTTGCACATATCTAAGGATTGAATCTCATGATTCTGTCCACAATATATATGATATGTTCCAGGAATAAGTTGGTTCAATTTTTCATCCTTTTGAGCTGAATAGTTTCTTGTTAGACACAAGTACTTGTTTTATATGTGTATTGAATATTTTATTTTTAGTCATTGAAACGTGTGATTGTGCAAATTAGGTTTCAGTTGTTCACAGTTTTGTTCAAAACAAGGTTAAGCAGTGTCCACACATATAAATGTTACTTGGCCCCGGTGCGTACAAAAGAGCTTCTAACACAGAGACCTAATCACACAGTTTGAAATTTCGAGGTAAATATGAACAAACACAAACTGCGAAGAAAAAAATAGTGACTTATAAATACCATTACTCTTTATCTCTATATTTCTCATAGACATCCAGATTTAGACTGAATACAGAAATTAATTGGATAATATAAGAAGAAGAAGCTAAAAGAATATATCAAAATAAGTAAACCCCCAAAAAACTAAAATTACAAAGTATGTATGTTGCTAAGGGTACGTACAAAATGTTTCATTTTTGATACAAAGAAACAACCTCTCATATGCCAATGCCATCTTACGTGCAGTAAACATTGAAGCTGCATAGTTCCTGCATGCTTTCCCTCTCTGAGCCAGCCTCTTGGCACCCTCAGCCACCACCTTCTCCAACGATTCCAATAGCGATTCAACGTTCGGAGAGAACATGAACCCGAACTCATCTTCCACAACAATAGTACCTTTGATGCTAGCAAACCTCGACGCCATCACCGGTTTTCCACTCATCATGGCCTCCATGAGAGTAAGATCGAGTCCTTGTGGTCTAAGCGTAGGGTTCACGAAAATGTCAATCGAATTATAAAAGGCTCCTAGCTCAGATGGATTCATGGACCCCAGGACCACCACTTGTGGACCTAGCTCCTTGTACCGGTTCTGCCACGGTCCCGAACCGGCCACAATCAAGTAGACATTAGGGTGCTTGGTCATGAGCTTGGAAAAGGCTTCATATAGTAGAGGATGGCCTTTGTCCTTCACTAGTCTACCTGCAACACCTAGGACTAAACTTGAATTTTGTGGGAGGCCAATCTTAGACCTAAATTCATGACCTAATCTCCAATCTTCTCCAAAGTCAGCCTCATCTACACCATTGACAATCACATGAACTCTTTTGCTAGGGATCTGATACACATCCCTTAGCATTTCGCCACAGCTGTCGCTTATCGCGACATGGTGAGAGTAATGGATGAAAAATCTAATTTCATTCAGCACTTTTGGGATCAACCCTAGTAGGCTCTTGTTGGCAGCTGCAGGCTCACCTGGCCGACGCGCCAAATCTTGGTATATGTCAGACTGGACACTCTCGAGAGCTATGCCATGCCATGAGACCGCGAGGTTGGGAAGGCGGCGAGCTAACCAGTGAGGAAGTGCCACGCTCTCCGAGTGAACCACGTCAAAGGGCTCTCGCTGGTTCTCTTCCTCAAACTGCTCCCATGCTTTGTTGTAACGCCACCTCCCCGGATCACCCTCGTGGAAATGAATGATTGGTGACAAAATTTGATCACTTCCTTCATGGATGAGTTGTTGAGAAAGAGATGGAACGGTTGCACCTAGAGGTGGAGAAGTGAAGACGTGGACTTGATGGCCGCGGCGAGCAAGGGCAGTGTGGAGGGTGTGAGCGTGGCGCTCCATGCCACCCGGGGTGGCACCGATGGGCCATTTCCTCGAGAAAACAGCGACCTTGAGAGAGGCCGGTGGGGGGTGTTTTTCGGGGAAGTTTAGACGATTCCATGAGAATTCTGCGGTTCGGAGATCACCGGACCATGGCTTTCTGCCGGGGGAGAAGGTGGTGCAGAGGGAGGTGGTGGGGGTGTGGAGGAGGAGGAGAGCTGGAATGGTGAAGAGGACAATGAAGAAAAGGGTGGTGGCGAGGCTGGATTGTAAAGAGAAAATGGGTTTTTTGGGCTGCTTGTTGAAGGCCATTTTTGGACTTCGAGTTTGGGATGGTTGTGAGACTAATATGCATATGTGTGTGGATGTTGATTTTGGTGTGATAGTTTATGAAAAGTCTAAATATGAAAGCTCAAAAGTGAAGGAAAGTGGGGAGGTTTTTGTGGGAGATGGACACGCACTGAAGCAAGTGCGGTGGGCTGGAGTTTCTGCTTTTAGTGCGTTTCTCACGCCTTGTTCGAGAAAAAGTGGATTCTTGTGACTTCAATAATTGAGTGGACTTGTAATTGAAGGATAGGAGTGCTTGGATTGAAGAATGTTGTCTCATATTCCATGATCTAATGCGTGTAGCTTGAAATTTATACTATATGACAGATCTAATTTATAATTAGATAGGCATTCACTAGTACATTCGGAGACGATGTTTCTTTGTTTTAAGCCTATAACCTCTAAATCACAATGGAATAATTTTACCATTTCGCTAAATTCACATTATTTCAACTTAAGCAAGGATATATATGGGCTTGCTTAAATACTTTTGGAGTATTAAACATATTAAAAACATATTTATAAAATAAAAATCCTTTTAAGTGGTTAAACAATAATTCGAATCAAGCTATTAGCAGAAACTATGAGACTAGATTTTGGGTTAGTCAACCAGTTTGGTTAGCTCAAAACAAACGCATTTGATGTTCAATATTTTTGACTAACAAAATAAAATCGTCCACAGCTCTCATTGGGCAGGTTTTCGATCTTTTGTAACGTACGTATTTGATTTGAATCCCATGCACTTTTGACTTCTCTCTCACACACACAAACAAACACATAAATATATTTATATGTTGTGTAATAAGAGATATATGCAATGCACTTGCATATGCTCTTTGCTTGGCCTCAAAGCACTATAAGGTTTTGTTTGTTCTCATTGTAAGCAATTAAGCATGATATTTTACTTTATTGCATAATTTTAATTGTAACTTTGCCTATGATAAATATATAAAATATATATATATATATATATATATATATATATATATATATATATATATATACCTATTCAATAGGCCATTATCAGTGCATCACATGAAGATGAAGGTGCTTTAATTTTACGAAATTGACTGCAGCTTTGTTGAGATCTATTCTTCAGCTTAGGCATTCTTCCTCAATTTTCACTAGCTTGTTTGACCTTATAAAATTAACCATTTCATATCTTTACATAATGCAACAATTATTACCATACCAATGACCAAATACCCTTTGACTTTCAATTTGTTACAGCTTATATATTCTAAAGAAACAGTAGTGTTCTACTGCCTAACTCTGCGCCAAAATTGAGACTCAAAGGTTTGACTTGTTTATTCAAGTAAAGGAGTTTAAAAGGGGTGAAAGGTGAGCATTTGGGCCTTGCACTATTAATTAATTGGGCTAGAAAATATCACACAACTGTGGGTATCTTTTTTTGCAGTTTACACATTGACTAGGACTTGTGGCCTCTATGTCTAGGGCTACACAACCAAACCACACAACATGACTAAAATCTATCCCTCTCAGTTTGAAGTTTCCTTCTTAGATAAGCATCTACTTGTAGAGAAAATAACAGTTAGGTGGATCTTTAACTCCATATTTACACTAACATGGATCAAAGCAGTCAAATCGCATGTTACTAACATTCTTTACTAACTCTATTCGCGTTAACTTTGGCATTCTTCTTTTTCTAGTATTACCCTCAATGTAGACTATATCCCCATTATCTTCCTAATTGATGCGCATAAAAGGTAGCCTACCCCATAGAACATGGGTGGCTGGCTTGGGCACAGCTTTCTGGGCTTTCTTAGAACATGGATTATGCCCATGGGCCATGACCCACCCCTTTTTTGGGCTTGGGCACAGCTTTCTGGGCTTTCTTAGTTTGTGTAGTTTTTGTGGCGATTCAGCCGAGGACTGAAGGTTGAAGTGGTTGGTTTTAAAAGAGTGTATCAAATATAACAGCAAACTTTTTTTTATTTCAAATAAAGACGAAGGCAGCTCAGTGAATGAATCATTCACATATAAAAAAAGGATATATGTCTGGGGAATTTATGGGCCGTCACAGAACTGGGATGTGGGGCTTCTTACTCGGTCCACTTTGGGCCTGTAATCGGCCCATATCCTTCCAAAATGCAGTCTGGGCATTTTGGTAATATGACATTGCAACGTAAGCACTGAACTTCTGCATATAATACGTACTATATTGTGGTGACCTAAAGTGCCCTCTAGCGAGTACACATTTAATCTACACGAACGAGTGCAGATATCTCGCCACCGAGTCTGAAGTGGACCAAATGGTAACAAATTTACCGTTCCCAGAAATTCCTTAACATGTCTGACTTACATCCACCGTTGATGGAATCAGATCAACGGTGATAATTAGTACAATCATGGGTCACATGTGGACTCTACCACAGCTCCATACTTCTCTCTTCCTTCACTCTGTTTTGTTCTCTTCTCTCTCATGCCACCCCCTCCTGCTGTAACTCAGAAAGAAATTAAAGAAGGAACGAAAATCGAGGCCTCAATACAAAAACAGAACAGACGTATATATGTATATATATATATATTACTCCGTATATATATTCTGCAAAATTAAATTTGTTTCCCATATACATACACAAGTTAGGGTTGGGTTTTGTGATGATGGAATGGAAATACATATTATGTTTGTTCATGGTTTCTTGTTTTAACCACTAGTAAATATTAGTATTATATATCTCAACCCTAGTTTTGAAGTTTGAGCTGAAGCCCCACTTACCCAAGTGGAGAGAGGAGAGAGAAACAAAGAGTTTTATAGAGAGAGAGAGAAAGAAGGGGTATAGTGTTGTGTTGTGCTCTGGGTTTGTGAGATATTTTTAGGGTACTGTGAAGATAGATAACATAGTATGAGTAATTGGTTAGGGTTCTCTCTGACTCCGCACCTGAGAATGGATGATGATCATGAAGCTTTTGGGAGAGAAGACCAAGGACCAAATTGTTTCTCTCCTCACTTGTCTGTCATGCCTTTGCGCTCTGATGGCTCTCTCTGTGTCATGGACCCTTTCAGGCGCTCTGATGGTGGTGAAGGTATGCATATATCTATATATATATTCACAAATATATCACCATGTATACACACATATATATAGCTTCACCAAAATATACTTCCATGCAATTTTTTTTTATATATTTTTTAAAAAATAGTGGAGAAACTCTAAGCCCATGACACTTCCATGCCCCTATTGGTGGTTGAACAGATATGCATGTATATATATATATACATATTCCAAATCTACAACACATATAAATAGCATGTGACTGTGGGATGTGTGTTTTTTTAACCTGAATCTATCAATAGTGGATGATTATTTTGTAGATTGGAGATTTGAGAACAGTATGGGTGCAAGTGATCCAAACACAGAGGGACCAAAGCTGGAAGATTTCTTGGGTTGTTGCTACACAAACTCTGCTCATGAAGACACCAAAGTTTATAGCCAAACAAGAGAAGATAGAATCAATGTTAATGCACCACCAAACTTCAATAACACTACTAATGGTGGTGGAGAGATTGAAAGAGGAGAGTCTACTCTCACTGACCCATCTCAATTGATCCAACCTTACCATTACAATGACAACCCACAAAGTAGTACTATGATCCAAACACCCCAAATCCAGAGCTGCCATCCAAACACCAACCATGGTAATCACATCTACCATGTACCATTTGATCATAATAGTGCAGCTAATTCAGTTTCTGAGTTCAAGTCATGGTTGCGCCAAACACCATTCTCAGAGGAGAAGCCTTTGGGTGAAGCAAGTAAGAGTAATTTCCAGTCTCTGTCACTAACCATGAGTCCAAGTCAGCCCCCGGGTATGGTGGTGACTCCGGCTTTGCCGCCCACGGAGGGCCTAAAACGGCCGGCCGGAAAAATTCGGGTTAGAGAACCAGTTGTTCGGAAATCTATTGATAGTTTTGGCCAAAGAACTTCTAGGTACCGAGGTGTCACGAGGTACTAAGACTTCATTAATTTATTTCCTTTTTTTTTCTGTCGTTTTATTGAAAATGTTGGTTTGAATTGAAATTTATTATGGAACCCTTTTATTTTATTTTTTATGTGGATGTTTGTGTAATGACAATTAAATTATTAGGCATCGATGGACTGGAAGATATGAGGCCCATTTGTGGGACAACAGTTGCAGAAAAGAAGGACAAACAAGGAAAGGAAGGCAAGGTGTGAAAAGATGACCTTCAACTTATTGATTTTTCACTTCTCTCTCTACTTATTCCATCTCTCTCTCTCTCAAGAATATACTAACGGCTTCATTTCATGTGCATAACTTCTGGGGTCTTCTTTCACCTATTTTCTCAAACAGTATATCTGGGTAGGTGAACCCTCTATGACTATTTCAATGTTTTTTGTTATTTATTATTATTATTAATTTATCTTTTGACTTTGTAATACAATATAAATACTATAATATATATGTATGGGACTGCTATATATGCACAGCCTATGTGGGTAGCTGCTGATTAAATCTTTGGATGGTGTGTATATTAATTGTCCTTCATTCTTCATCAGGTGGCTATGATAAGGAAGATAAAGCAGCTAGAGCTTATGATTTGGCTGCCTTGAAGTATTGGGGTCCAGCTACTCATATTAATTTTCCTGTAAGTTGTTAAGAAGCTTTTATCTTCATTTCTTACCATTTAAAAAACCTGTACACATGTCATAGAATCAACCTGAATCTTTATAGTACTTATGCAATAACTTCACATCATTTATTCAACAATTATATTTGATGGTGTTGTACTTTGACAATCGTATGATTGTTACACTAGCAATACAGGACCGAGGCAAAGAGTCCCCTCAAGTGGTGGTGATCTGAATTCCATGGACTCCTTCCTGGGTTGTGTTTGTTGTCAAAGACATTGGTCAATGTCAATGCCATTACCATTATACCAAGACCTTAATTACAAGACTGAATTTGATAGAAATAGCTAAAAATAGAACATGCTTAATTTGTCACTAGACTTGGGCTTCCTTTGATTTTTTTTTTTTGTATACTCATCAGCTAAGCACATATGAAAAAGAGGTTGAAGAGATGAAGAACATGACCAGACAAGAGTTTGTTGCCAACCTAAGAAGGTATATTTTCCAAATAAATCAGCAAACCCTCTTTCTAATTTTACACAAATGAGATGATTTTAATTTATTTAGTTATGATTAATTAAATTATTAATTCCGTTGCAGGAAAAGCAGTGGATTTTCAAGAGGGGCCTCTATGTACAGAGGAGTGACTAGGTAATGGCAGGAAAGACCAACTTTTGTGTAAAAAAGTCTCCATTATTTTTACAGAGTTTGCAGCCTTTACAATTATCGTTGGCAATAATAGGCAAACAATATAAGAATAAATGTGCTTTTATATTAACCAAACAGTATATGTATGTACATAAAGGGGACCATATTTACAGAATAAAATCAAAATACTTTATCAACAGTCCTGCACTCAAATATGTAAAAGGGTACTGTGGATTTAAAGAGGGGGGAAAAAATTTATTTAATTAATATATCATTTGAAGTTCACCCACCAAAACATCTTTTTTTAATTGGCAGACACCACCAGCATGGAAGGTGGCAAGCTCGAATAGGCAGAGTTGCAGGCAACAAAGACTTGTACCTCGGCACATTCAGTAAGTTTTCATGCCCCTTTAGACGATTCTTCGTAAGTATATATAATAATTCTAAATAATCACGTTGAATCATAAGAGTTTAAGATTGACACTGTTGTGTTTTCTATATTTCTGATTCTAATAATGATTGATCAAATAAGCCCATTTAGTGTTGTTTTGGAAGTTCATGTTGATTGGTCTGATTCATAATTGGACTTGAGAACAAATTCATCTGCTAGCTAGCTGAAATCAACTGCATGAAACTTGTTTTATCCCAAATTATTTCACTTAAACTAATGATTTAACAATGTGGTTTCAACTACTAATCATTGATGGTATGATTTAGGTACACAAGAGGAGGCTGCTGAGGCCTATGATATTGCAGCAATTAAGTTCAGGGGAACCAGTGCTGTGACCAATTTCGATATCAGCAGGTACGACGTGAAGAGAATTTGCTCAAGCTCGACTCTCATAGCCGGTGACCTTGCCAAACGTTCCTCCAAGGACTCTGCTCCGACTTCGCTAGAGGACTACAATTCATGTGCTTCATCGGCTTCTCCACAACCACCTATCCTTGCCATAACAAATGGTGAACCCTCTGTTGATCAATTGACTGAGATGGTGTGGAATGCCAACGCCGAGATTGAAAATCAGCAGCAACAGAATACAAATGCCAACAATGAGCTATTGGCGATCGGCTCAAGCAGTGCAAACTCATCTGCACCGGGAAGTCCAAAGGGGCAGGGCGGATTGAGTGGTGAGTTTGGAGTTGGAGGAGATTTCTCCGAGGCCTATTTCTCGTTGCAGGGACCGAAGTATGGAGATGGCAACAATGGGAGTGTTGGTGTTCATGCGAGCGCCAATCGGCTAGGGAACAATTTGGGTTTGGTTCATCAGGTCCCCATGTTTGCACTGTGGAATGAGTGAGACTGATAAGGGTGGATGTAGGTTTAGGAACACAGATCAATTTTAGAGAAAGTGGCTCACAGAAAGAAGGAAGGTAGTTTTGCTTGTTTTGACATGGCTAGACTCTGACATTCTTAGGTGTAACATACCCCATGTTTGTTTAACTGATTTTGATGTTTCTTAGACAAATCAGAGGAAGATGGAGAAAGCGAAGGTGTTGGTTTTATTTTGTTCTTTTACTTGGATGGTCAATGTTGTTATGTTTATATATATTGACATATGGTAATACAATCCTCGGAATTAGCTATATATATATATTGTGCGCGCGCGCGCGCTTTTGATTTAGAGGGTATATTTTACATATTTAACTACATGAATAAGGTGGTGGCAGCACATGCTCTGAATGAAAAATAGTTGAATTTGTGTTCGTTTTCTCAGTTCATCTTGGACATTCCTAAGAGCCCACATTGATGAAATGAATCTCGGAACAGGAAAAAAGTCTTATTAATTACTCTTTTTTCTATATCTTCAAATCCAAACTTGAGTTTTAAGATGAGTTTGAATTTGAGATTGGTATTTGAGTTGAATTTAACTATTGTCAAATCAGAAGTTCGAATTTGAGTTCTGATTGATCGATTGAGCTCAAAAAGTAATTCAATCCCAAATCCTACAGTTTGGTTCTGTTATGTCATCAGTTCGGTTCGTAATTTACAGAGGTCAAAAAAGGCCATGGAACAATCCAAACCGAACCATGCATGAAATTCATACATATCAAACTGATTCGAACTAAAACGTTCTTGTTCGGATTTGGATTAGTTCAATTTCGAGGATTCTATCTGTTTGATTTAATTATAACTTGTAGGAAACATTAAAAAGTTAGTTTGATTCTAACGTACTCTCTAAATGAATACAGCATTCCTTGTTTTCTCTTTAAATGTCTTCTCATTGAATGACACTTCCCACCACCGTGAAATAGGTAAAATTTAAGTCTGGGATGAGATTTGATCCCAGCCTCTTTGAAACTCAGAATTAGTAGTCGTGATAATTCCGTCACAAATGAGTGTAAATTAACTGATTTGGTCAGTTCATAAAAAAAAATTTACAAACCAATTATTATATCGTGTATAAATTAATACAATGAATCATATCTCACCTGCATAGCCCATGATACATGTAAGATTTAAATTGCAGTATGATTAATTTAAATTTTTCAAAAGTCTGTTTTATCACAGACTATATACACTGTTAATACAGGATTGTGCAGAAGACAATAGTGGAAAGTGGTTGTAATGGTAAATTGTAAAAATAAATGGTGATTAGGATAAGATTGATTGTGTAAAACAGCTTAGCTTAGGAAAGTAGAGAAGGTACAAGGAAGGGTAGACAGTGGTGGTAGTAGTATCACCTGAGACCTGCCACCAAATTTGTACACATCCCATCTCCCTTCCCTCTTACGTCTTTTCAATCTGCCTCGAACTTGCTGCATATTAGCTGTAGTTGGGGTGTAAATGTAATTAATTTGGTCAAATGATAAAAAGTTTGAACCTAAAGTTACAGCCATCGAGAGACCGAACGTGGTAAAATATAAATCACACCGACTGAGAATTGGAACAAGAGTGTCCATAGAGTGCGAGAAAGAACTCTTAACATAATATGTGATTTAAGTTTAAATTATATAATTAAGAGAATATTATATTCTTTTAATTATATATTGACTTATTTATCAATTTATTTTATTATTTTATGCATTTTAAAAGTAATTTCTTAAAAAATATACATAAGATCTTACTATAGAAAAGAGATTAAAAAAAATGACAAACTTATCATTATATAATCAAAACTTATAGAATCGATACTCTAATTTGATTCAATAATTTGAATTCAATTTGAGTCCCTTGGTTCTTTTCAGGGCTGATTACCCATCTTGATACTAGCTTAATTTGAAATTTTGATGAATTTACGATTATCACAGTTTTAAAACGCGTTATATTATAGAAGTATGTTAAATCTACATATAATACTTGCTCCTTCCACACTCAAGGGATGTGAAATTGTGCACCTATAACTTGCGCAGTATGGTTGTTCACTAATGCCACCTGCACACACACATTAATCCACAAGATCGCCGCAATTACACATCTTCATAAACCGACTGATTTATACTGATATTCATCCGAATATGTTACACCGAGATCGCGAATAATATCGAACACTACTGCCAACCATGAATTCAAATAGACATATTCAAATTAGGGTTGCTCTTCATTAGACATATTCAAATTTTAACATGGATCTATAAGACGGGTATTAATTAATTAGCCACAAAACTACAATAATTAAATTTATTGTGCATGGTGGAGTAAAAATGTGTAGTGCGTCTATATACTTGGTAAAATTAACGTCATTACTTAATCATTAGTAAACATATAATTAAACATGCTGAGAATAGTTATTATGTTGGATAATTTACTAACATTAAAAAGTCACTAAATTATTTTAATTAGTTAGACTTGAGAAAAGCAAATAGGAATTTGACAACGGTAGGTGTTTTTGCTAAGATACGCCGAGATGCACACTAGAGACTAGAGTATTATATATCCTGATCAAGACAAGCTTTGACACTCCACGAAGGAGAGAGAGAGAGAGAGAGAGAGAGAGAGATGTGCCTGCTCCCACTGAAGGAAAGCCACGCCTTAAATTGCGTGCCTCTAACCTTTATGTGCCCTTCTTTCTCTCTCTAACACACACACTACACACAGTACACACACACTCTCTCTCTAGCTCCTTTCAGCTGCTGGAATTTTTCATTCAATCCAGTATACCACGCCTCTTCCCCTGACCTGTCACGTGACGTTGAAACCTCACAGCGTTTGGCACGCTCTTAAAGTATTAATATGAAAGCATAAATTAAAGCACCTCTCTCTCTCTCTCTCTCTCTCTCTAGATTTCTTTTTCACGAACGATATGAATGAACTTTGTGTAGTAGCAGATAAAACGTACGGACTGGAGAAGGGTGTTGCAGAAAGAAAATTTAGAGATAGATTCGGTTTCTGATTGCTAAAATCCATTTATGTCTACCAACACCAACCTGGCAATAGTACCCAAATATATATATATATATATATGTATGTACGTATGTATATGTATACATGCAATACATATACAGAGACAATATATCTACAGGACAAGATACCTCATGCAGACTTTTCTCCATCAAAAAATCTTCCTACAGAAGACCTACAATGCTACTACACATCACCTACACTACATATATATATATATATATAATATATATACGTCTGTATCTATCTATATATATACTGTAGAGGGTTTGTTTTTGGGAGGGTAGGAATGCTACTTATGCCTGTTTTAACTGCCACCCTTTTATGAACTTTGTGTTTCTGCGTTATGTGACTTTGGGTCTCGTGATTCTGTACTAATTTGCTAATATGGTTACTATGTTTTTTTATTGCTCCAGGGCAGCCTATATACATATTGGTGTAAGCCCAGCCTTCAAAATGCATGCATGGACCCACTTTATGATTACATAAGATCTAACCGTTAGATTCGCGTTGACTATAAACCATTAAAATACAAGGATATATAAGCATTATCCTATAAATAATCATATACTGTTTATGATTCAGTGGATTGACAATCAGCCTCCACTCAAATAGGGTAAATGATACTGTATATGATTTGGAATTAAGTCCACCCATCCATGACAATTTTCCCCTACTGGGTGGGTTTGGTCCAACACCACCCCGCGCCCTAATGGAATGGGTTTGGTTGCCCTCTAAATGAATTTGGTGCGGATACTATAAAATAATTAAAAATTAGAAGTGAATTTAGGGCGGAGGCATATTTAGTGATTAACCTATTTCGTTCACGCCCTGATTATATATATATTTTTAAAAAATTTAAATATTTATTTAATATTTTTAAAATCCTTATTACTTTAATATATTAATATTCATTATTTAGTAATTTAAAAACTGTGTTATCTTATTTATCAACCTAATTTGAACACAATAAACTAATCCCTACATCTATCTAACATACAAGAATTCATAAAAGTAAATTTCATAATTTTACAAAAGCTATTTTCTTCCTTTTAGAGTTTAATTAGCTGTAGTGCTGTAATTTTTTTATTTCATGATAAATAAGGGTGTCCGAGACTTTACCTCCACTAATTTATTTTTTGAATTCATTCAAGTTTTTTTTAACTAGGTTGACCCAGCTGTAACTTGTTGGTACATTAATTCTGTTTTTTCGATAAGTTTATTTCTATTATGAATTGACAAGATTTGTAGTGTCGTTTCATTTTAGGGTGGTGATTTAGACACCGAATCATGTGAGAAGCAAGGGCGAATCTAGAAATTATTTATTGGGGGGGACTAATATTAAACAAGGAAAAATTGGAAATCAAAAGATTAAAGAGTTGGAAAATTTTAGAGAAAATAGGGTTAAATTTTAAAGGGAGAGAGGGGGTGAGTTATCTGATTTGTGCAAGATTAAGAATTTAAGAGTTCTTTGTGCTTTGACTTAGTGATTATTTAGGATTTGTTTGGCTTGAACTTTTGTTTTAAAATTGTAACTTACATATTTGACTTGTTTGAATGAGTTAAAATTAGAAATTAATACTATTACTATTTTTTTTTTCTTTTTTAAAATATTGGGCTAAATATACTTATATTAAAAATATATATATATATATATTTTTTGAGGGGGGGTCATGCCCACACAAGCCCCCCCTTGGATCCAACACTGGTGAGAAGGGTCATGGTAGAACCCGTCACTTCACTTACATAAATTAAATTTGAAAATTGTGGGCCTTAAATCATTATTGTTTTGCTACTTGAATTAATGTGCTATTGTGTTCAAATTTGACTATTTTAATTGCTAAATTCAAAATTGATATTATGAATTCATAATTGATAATTGAATTCCATAAAACGAATATGAAACCAAGTCTCACTTGATATGCTCAAAATCAATTCAATTCAAATCTTGAATTCAACTTGTAACCTAATCTTGTAAAGTGACAAAATGTATCAATTTCCAATGAATGTCACGTATGATGATGATGATGATGCATCCTCCTCGTGCCAAGTCTTGATGTCTATGATAGTAATATGGGTAAATGTCCATGCATGGCCCATCCCTCCATAATTAATTATCCTTTCTCCTGTCTCTGCAGCTCCAACATCTCTTTATCAACAAGGCAGGGTGACCCATAATGTTACCTTAGAGGGTGAAATGGGAAACAACAAACCAACATCAACTCAATTTGGTGGAATTTACCTCTTTGCCACCATTCAAAAGTAAAGTTAAACATCCCTTTCATTACATTTATTGATATATATATTTTTTGTTTTTAAATTAATGATGTGAAATTAAATTTCTTTTTTATTATTAAATGGGGTTTTTGATGGGACAAGACTCAAGAGGCAATCCTTTCCTGTGAGGGGGTCCCTATAGCTAGAGGACACAATGTCCTAGTGCTGACATTTCTGTGACAGTGTAAATGCTGCGGCTTGCTGGCGATCTAAATCCGGCCAAACATGCTCCTTGCTCTATTGATTCATGCACTGCAGTCTAGGCTTAGGCCTGTATAACCCACCTAGTATTTGAATTCAACCTCGGTGTTTGTGGTTCCATTGAAAAAACTAATTTGAATTGAGATAGATAATTATATTTGATAATTAATTATGTCAAAGGTTTTGCTTTTAATGAGAAACAAAATTAAATTAGATTAACTAAAACACCACATTATTTAAAGTTTATATATATATATATATATATATTTTATGATATTTCAATGATATGATGATAGGAATATTGAAATTTTAATTTTTTTAAAAAATAGTTGTTCTTTAAGGGGAGACTATTATTTTTTCAAATCTATACAAATAAGTATTAGACCGGATAGTATCTCTGTTTTTTTAAAAGGCGGAAGGTGGAGAGTGTTCATGTCGTGTTAGGACTTCGAAATAATATTATGGATGTATGTTTATATGGTTTTGGGACTATTGTTCGTGGGCCAATCATCACTTAACACCTAAATAATTATGTTGGAAATGTATAAGTTTTATTCAATTTTTTTTCTTTTGTGTCCATTGATACTTGCTTGAAGTGATTCAAATTAATGACAGAAAAATTGGAAATTTTTGAAGGCCTCTTCCTGTTTGGTGGAGTATTGTTCTTGAAATCCAGTTGAAGGCTTGAGGCCCAAACGAAGGCCTAGATCAAGGTATTATCAATTAAACTGGCCCAGCCCAATTCCAAAGCCTAATCAAATATTGTTTGGGCTCAACCCATTTGATGAATAAATCCAAAAAATGAGTTTGGACTCATTTTATTTGTTTAATTAAAATAAAATGAATCGGAATTGTTATTGTCTGTCATTTATCCCTGAAGCTAGCACATACACTTTGGAGGGGCTATGAGGGAAAATCTGAAGACTTATTTTTGAATGATGAAAGAGTCTAAGGAAGGTAAAATCTGAAAATCGGAATATATAAATAATTATTATATGTATTTATTTAAACTTTATTGTATATGTTTTCTATAGTGTATTGTGTAAATTAATAATTTCAAAAGAGTCATAATTTAATTTGCATAAAAATTTAATTAATTTTTTTTTAAAATATTAAGATTTGTACTTTTTGACTTAACAATTTAATTTATTTATTTATTGCCTAATGATTTTATTAATTTGTCAAGCACAATAAATTGATGGATGACTTAGCACTCGAATCTCGTAATTGAAAATAAAACCAAAATTCGATTTGGGCATAGATCAAGAATGTACACGGTGATTGGCGATTGAGTTACAAAAAGAAATCAAATTAAAGGAGATTGATACGCAATAACAAATTAAGAAGATGGAGATTAAGCGGGAGTAAGTTCTTTGAGAAAAACAAATGATGGAAAAAAATTCAAACTATGTTGCAACACCAGAGATAAAAGCATGGATCGAGAATCGACAAAATAAAATTATGGCGCGTTACACACAAAGAGGCAATTGAATGTAATGTCTAATATTATTTCAAAATGTGTGTGTGTTTTTTTTTTTTTTTTGGGGTTGTAGGAAGCAATGTAATTTACTTTTTCTTTATACATGTAATATCATTATTTTTAATATTATTATTTTTTTATTTCTCAAAACATATAATCGAAATAAATAATTATAGCCATTAGTAATATAGTTTTGGCAATGAAGTCGTTTGAAAAAAAAAAAAAAACACCCAAACAATAAAAAAAAAAAAATCATTTTATATTTTTAATAAATATATTTTTTAAATAATAAAATAATAAAGTGGATGGTAAAAAAAAGAGTACACAGTAACGAGTTAGAGTCTTCAAAACAATTGCTAACCTAGGGCACTGCACTTTACTTTTTTGAAAGTGTAGAAGGAAAGTGTAGGAAGTGCATTGAGATGCTCTTAAAGGTATTTCATTCAATTCTAAGGCCATCCGATAGAAGCAGTGATTATTAATCCATACTGTACGTTTCGGGTAACAAAATACTTTAGCTAGTCACGTCAACACAATATACCAGTTGGTATATCGACAATCCTAAGGGTGTCAAAAGTTTCTTTTTTAAAGAGATTGCCTTACTCCTGAGGGGAGGAAATAGGAACTAAGTTACATAATTTTTTTGAATGAATGTTGCTCTCACACTTTCAAGTGTATTTTCGTTCTTCTGTTTCACATACGCTTCAATCCTCTTTTATCACTTTTGCACCCTACCTTTCGATCACTTTGGTGACAATGCCTTTTTTTGTGAAAAATATTATTTAGTTAGACCTATTTTCAAGAAAATATGGTCCCAAGTTATAGTTGGATTATAGGTTCAATTCTCATGAAGAAGTATATTTTGCTTTACTCTAAGATTATTGCAGAATAAAGAACTTTCATGGTTGGGGTAATAATATACCCTTGAATGTGCATGTATACCTTAACCACAATGGTAAAAGGTACCCTAAAAAAAAAAAAAAAAAAAAAACCAACTCATAGCAAAAGAAAGAAATGATTCAAGTATATACAATATATATTAACTAAAGTCAAAATATACTATATGTGTATGTATATACATAAATTCCATTCGTATCTACCCATTAAATTATGATGATGTGGCTCCTTTTTATTATTCAAATCTTGTTTATATTCGTGGCATTATATGGGGTTTTGACTTTTTGTAGGTTTGGTTTGATTTTATTATTGGGTACATCATTATATCTGCAGTGGGCATCTTGGATCCACGAGGATACTAGGAGGCTCCAATCGTACCCGCCAGATTTATTAAATCACCGTCGTAGGGTTAGGGATCTACAAGGCGTGTGATATATTTTATTTTTGTGTAGATAAATTGACTTCTTTAACCATGGTATCCAATGAATTTTGGTATTCGGATGACCCCGCAAGTGAATAAGATTCAGACAGATCTCAATTTTGAAACACAGGTCAATTTGGTAATTAAGTTCAATGTCCATTTGTGACCGACTTTTTTTTTTTTTTTTTTTAACGTGAAGAAAAGGCAGAAGTCAATTACAGTACATGTTTGTCTGCAGTAAACATTAAAAGGACTTGCTCACAAGTCATATCAGCAAGTGTGTGATGTGAAAAAGAAAAATGAAATAGTTTTTTTTTTTTCTTTATTTTTATTTCGTTCTATGTAATTATTATTTAAAATAATGTTGAGAGAGAAAAAATATGAGAATTAACAGGACTAAGATTATTAAAAAAAAAAAAATAGAATATATATATATATATATATATATATCTTGCTATCTTATTCATATTTTTTTTGAATAAATAAATTATTAGTGAGTTCAAAAACTGTAGTGAAAATATTTAACATTTTATGTGAGTGACGAAGACCAGATTCAGCTGAGAAGCTCAATAATTTTACCAAATGTGATAATGCCCTAACCGATCTGGTCTTCTCGTACTTGAATCAACGATTTGGATTAAACCCCATTTGTGTTGATTTGATTCTTCAAGACAGCAAACTATAACCAAAACCCAGATTCAGAAACAGCTACCACCTAATTTCTTAACCCTAACTCTAAATACCCAATTATTTGAACAGCCAGCATTGTTGGATTTGGAGAAGATTTCGACTAATTGACACCAACCCAAATGAGAGAACACATCAGAAAACCTAAATTTGGTTGAGATTGTGATTTTTGTGTTTTGCTGCTGAATGGAGTCACCATTGCTGACCTTACTAGTTCTCAGTTTGGGGGTTGTGTTGAGCTTCTCTGCTTTGTCAGTGGAATCTCAGGGAAATGTGAATCCTGGAAAACCACCTCCTACTTCGCCGCCGTCAGTACAGGATCCACATAAATCATCACCTCCTCCGCCGCCTCATCTGTCACCTCCACCGTCACCTCCGTTGTCACCGTCTCTATCTCCACCTCCACCTCCAACTCCAACTCCTCCTCCACCACCACCACCACCACCACCACCATCATCACCACCGCCTCCACTTTTCTCTCCCCCTCCTCTCTCTCCGCCGCCGCCAACGATTCGCACTCGCGGTATTCCTCTTCCAGAGAACAGAACAAGATCGCCGCCGCATTTGCATAAACGGCACAACAACACTACTCAGGACTATATCGGCCCAACTTCGGAGCAGAAGCTCAATATAGGAAAGAAAATTGGGTTGATGTTTGTGGGTGTTGCAGCGATCTTGCAAGTTTGTGTAGTGGTATTTTTGGGAATCAAAAGAAGACAGCTTTTGAAGGCCAATTGAAAGATGTTGAAGAGAATTGGATCTTGAATTTTCATCGTCTGTGATCATTAGACTGAGGGAGGGTTATAATGAATTGATATGCCTCGGTCAGAGGTGAGAGGATATGGATTTTGATAGTTTGGAGCATTCCCAGCTTCCCGATCACGTGAATCGAAGTGTTGGTATCTCCGTTTGGGTTTGGGGTTCTCGCCGCTGTAAATGGGTAATTCTTGGTTGTTTTTTTCTTTACAATTTGTTTGTTTATTTCTCTGTTGCATTCTTCTTACTTTCTTTCATCTACACCACTGATAAGTTAAAGCACAAGAAATCTTTTTCCACATTGTGTTTTGGATGTTCTTACCATCTGTTTTCTCTTTTTGCTAACATGTGTGATTGTATAACGATATTAGGATTTAATGGAAATGTCTTTTATTTTACAACCAATGTTTGAGGCTTTGTTTCATTTATGTGTGTGGTTTTAACTTCTGAATTCAAGGCTGAAGCAATGTACTACTGCTATTGTTATGGATGAAATTTATTCTTTATAAAAGTACAAGAGACAGATTGTTGTTTGCATGTAAATAAATCAGTAACCAAATTGAATTATTTAGCTTTGTCAGTATGGCGGCCATCTGGAGTTGCTAATGGCCTTTGTTGTATTGAATCAACTCAATCGACAAAATTATTTGCATTTTGTGCGCTAGCTTGGAACTTAGAGGTAGAGTCCCGGAAAAAAAAATAAAAAATAAAAAGAATATAAAACTAGTAAAGAAAATGAAAACATAAATAAAAATCTTTAGGGCCAGCGCTACTAAAAATTCAGATCACCAAGTGTGACAACATGGTTTTGAGTCTAAGAGCCGCTACTTTGTGTAGATAATGTGAAAGTTTACCCAATAACACTAGGTAATGGCGCTTTTTCTTTTATTTTTTTCCATTTTTTTTTTAAAAAAAAAAAAATATATTTAAGGTGTGGGTATCTTATCTTAGAATGACGGGTTAGGGGAGTCAATCAGCACCTAAAGGGGCAAAAGTCACTTACTCGAGTTTCTGTGTCATTAAAAGTGTGATACCTTTACATTGTGGCACAAGATTCTGTTTTTTCTTGTAAATATACATTATTCTATGCCATCCACATTGAACCAGTTTAAATTACATGTTTGCTATGTTATTGTTACTTTCTCCTAAGCTGATAGATGGGAATAGCTCAATTAACTTATCTTGGGCACTTCTAACTCTTTCCAATCAGTTCCGGTCATATAAACAAGACAATTGAATTTTTGCCATTCTGTAGTTTCGGCTTTGCAGTTATTGATTTTGGTTGATTGCTTTGAAATTATGCAGAAGCTTGAAGAGATATTTTTATTGGACTGTATACGAGTTTTTGTATCGTATTTTTGACATCCGAGTTTCAAATTATAAGGAGGGTTAAATTCACAAAACCCCCCTATAATATCATTTTTTGTCAATTTACCCTCTATACTATTAAACCACCTCCTGTACTACCAAATAGTTAAGGACAAATAGTAGTAATGGGTCTGTTAGTTGACAATTAAAATTACCAAAATGGCCTTCCTTTATTTAAATAAATTTAACATAGACAAAAATGGTACCTGTAAAATGATGCATGTGCCCATGAGGAATACGATTCCAATTATTTCCAGGACTCAATCTGGTTTTGAGCAAGGCCATTTTGCTTCATTGGCCTTTCTGGCTTACCCGTTTGACTTCTTTAGCATTGATTAAGAACAATTAGTGATTATTAGTTATATTTATAAAATTTAGCTTTATTTTTTATTGTGTTAAATTGGCTTTGGATTGGATTTTCTTTATTTCTCTGTTTGGTAGCTAAGAAATGGCAGCAATTTTTTTTAGATTTTTATTTATTTTCATTGTTTGAGATAAGAAGAAGTCTTCAGTCAACTGAGCGTTATACAACACTATGGTTCAGTGAGTCAGTTCAAGTGAGTTTTTCGTTTCTTTTTTTAAGAATCGAAAGAATGTGAGATGCGAAATTCAAATATTTAGATTCTTTAATTTTCATGAGTTTTCTGATCAACTTGACAGAAAATTGAACTGGTTCTTAATGTCTTCCTATAATTGCAAAAGTTTACTCTGCATGTCTCAGCTTTGGTTTTCATTTGCTGAAGCTTTATGCACTCTGTTAGTTTCAATGGGAAATAGTTCCGAAATAAATAATCATTTTATTTTGCTCTTTCTGTTTTAATAGAATTTTGTTATAGGGGTGACTTTTCAGGGGAAGAAAATACTTTCTTAAAGGCTCCATGTTTTTAGTGTTCATATTTTGGTGAAACACAGAGGTTTTTCATAATGTCCTTTGGGTTTCAATTAGATTTCGTTTTTTCTTTTATCATTCATGAAATTCATTTTTCTTTGCAAGAAAGCTTTTATGTAGAAGTGATTCTCTGTTGAAACAAATAGAGCCTCATGTCCAATTATCTCAATCAAATGTTAACCATCGAGCCCTGGGATGATATAATACAGGGGGTAAATGAGAACTAACCGGAAGGGGGTGGTTTGATCACTTTTATAATACAGGGGGTAAATTGACAAAATTGATAATATAGGGGGGTTCTATGACTTTAACTGATGGAGAACAAGGCATGGGAGCTAGAACCAATTGACGCAGGGCAAGTAGTGTTTAGATACAAAAAGAAGGGGATGAGAATGAGAAGATGAGATGAGACTAAAAGGAGGAGGTGGGAAGATAAACGAAGGACATGGTGAAGGAGATAGGCCAGAGAGAGAACAAAAAGAAAACGAGGGAGAAGGTGACAAAGGGAGAGTTTGCAAACTCTCAAAATTATTCAATAATCCCAAACTGACTTGGTTTATTACATCGTAGCCTTTATATAGGCAAAACATAAACAAACCCTAAAACAATAAAGTACTAAAATATCCCTAAAATGAAAACATTACTAAAAATAACCATAATTTACTCAAATCCCTAATTCTATCTTTCTTTTCCCCTTCTCCAATGGTAAGTGTGGGTCATATATGGTTCTCGCTCTTGTGTCGTGCCTTGTTCTCCATCATTAACCCTTGTAAGAAAAGGAATGAATAATAGGAAAATGAGAGGGGGGAAGCCTAACATCTCACCCGCACAAGTGGTGTTTCAGAAAAACAACATTTAGGTATGTCCATCTTTTGGTTATCTTATAAGGCTTTTGCTGTCTATATTTTTTTCAGACGGGGGTGTCTTGTTTGCAATATCCCTAGTTGCACAGAACCATAAATACTTCATTTTGTAAGAGTTGTGTATAAATAATCATATCCTGTGTCCTGTGTTTTTTGGAAGATATATATAAATATATATATTAGTGAAAATAGCATAGATTTTACACAATGCTAGTGATCCATGTTGAATTGACTCGAAATATCCACAATTATAGAACCTTGATATGAACTTTGTCATTCTCCATGAATTAACTTCCAGTGATGGAATTTCTACATCAAAGTGATAGACTTGTAACTTGAATGTAAGTTTGTCAGTAACTCTAATCAGTTCCACTGTATTCTCACTCCTTGGGTTTATTAGTTTGTGCATGTAGTTGCAAGACGTGATCACTATGAAGTTAATGTTGGGTAAATCAACTATGATTTTCTGCAAAAAAAAATCTTCCCAATTCAAAACAGCCATAGAAATGCCAGAGCTCTGTAGATGTATTCAGCCTAGCTCTGTGACTTAGTCACCAAAATTTCCTCTGATCTTTTTCATCTATTGATGACAAGTAGTCATGATATGCTTGATTAACCAGAGTGTTGCTCACATATATTACTGAAGTTTTCTGGATGATAGCCAGCTTTTCTAGAAGCAGCATATCAAGAAAACATAGTGTGCATCTTTCATTCCAGATGGGAGATAAAAACCTAGTCAACATAGATAGGGTCTATTAGTTTGTGCATGTAGGTGCAACTTAGCCAACTCCAAGTAATTGGGAAAAGGCTTAGCGGTGGTGGTTCTATGTGGGTGCAACTTCTCTACGTTTGATGTTGTAGGTGATGGACAAGAGAGTGACTTCTAAGTGAACTTAAAGCACTGTTGGGTGGTTGTATTATTGAGACATGATCACTATGAAGTTATTGTCGAATGGTTGTATTATTGAAGTGTTCTGCATGATAGCCAGCTTCTTTTTCTTCTAGAAGCAGCAAATCAAGAAAACATAGTTAGCATCTTTCATTCCGGATGAAGATACAGTAAGACGGACTCAAAGATAGGTTTAGGTTGGACAAATAGGAAATTATTCCTATTCTCATGTCTGGAACTGACCTATATTCTGGACTTGATAATACGTAAATTCATTTTGTTTTTTGTTGGGAAGTATGACAGTCAGATAACGTGAGTGTAGTCACAGCTCCCAGGCTGACTGATATGATAGCAATTTGGCTGCGTTCAATGTTCAGGGCCAGACCAGGCTCATTTCAAGCTTGCACTGGAGAATATATGAACTACATTTATGAATGACCTGAGTATCAAAGTTCATTATTCTGACACCAGGTGTTATAGTACATAAGTCCAATAGTTCATACATGGTGGTGCTTTACTTACCAGAAAAAGTTGGTGCCTTTGCCTTTCTCACCTCTTTTACAAGGTTCTATTACAGGAGTTATAATCAGATTGGTAAAGTTCTCCTATTACATCAACTGTTGTCTTTGCTGAATTCTATTTGCTAGGATTTTTAATTGTAAGCCAGATCTATTAGTTCTATGGGTAAAATATTCTAAGATTTTCATTACTTTAGCCTGTGTTAATCGATCTCTGGCTATTAATTGTGCTCGCAAATGAAGCTGCGTCTATGACAGACTTTTGAAAGGCAGCTGGTTTAGTTTCATCTGTTATGAGTGTTATCATTGTAAAATTTCATGAAGTTCATGCATTATGAAAGTTAACAAAATTTTGAATTTCTTTTATAAGAATTTTTGTGGTTAGCTGTGTATCAGTTAAAATATTATGCTACCAGAATCAACACACTCATCTAAGTTCATATTCTTGTGGTAATTTGAATGTTTAGTTTTAAATCGTGACTACTACTAGAACTCAAATTTGGTCATGTTTCTGATTTTAGAATTTCAATCATTAAATGTGGGAGTTAAAAAAAAAGAAAAAAAAAATGAAGATAGGAGGGATGGGGTCTCGGGGGTGGTGTTTAGTTTGATGGACCAGACGATCAATGTGATATTGAGATATGCTTTTTTCTTTTTTTGTAAAAAAAAAAAAAAAAACCTTTTCTTGTTTAGTTATCTGCCCTAGATTGATCTAACCCTAGACAATGTCATTGACATACTGATTAACGTTTTGTACCCTTGATATCTTTAAATTGGAATCTCACAGTGCTTGTACGATATGTTGAATAATTGAATCCTTATCTTTCTAAGTTGAAATCTTTGAATCCTTGCCTTTTGATAAATGTGACATTGTTGGAAATTTTAACGTTTTGTACCCTTGACATTGTTATTAAATGCATGAGAACAAATAACACTGGTTTACTGTGGGCTTGTTTGGCAACCACAATTATTTTGTGTTTTTACTTTGATTCGAAGCAGAAATAATGTTTTAGAGTGTGTTCAACACTATATAGAAGCTTGTTTGGTAACGTAAATTTGTTACAAGATTTTTAGAAGAAAAAGCATCAAATCATGTTTGGTAAAAAGCGTTACAAGTTTGAAAATTTGAATGTTTAGTTAGAAATATTATTCTAAAATTTATTTATTTATATTTAACAGTACTTCGCTACACTGCTGATGCAAACAAAAACATCATTTTGATGCTTCCGATTTTGGCCTCAATTTTGGAAGCGCTTCAGTATTCTATTTAAAAGCACATCAAATATTACTAACACATGCATCGTGCTTTTAGTTTGTTACAGTACACTAGCAAAAAAAAAAAAACACAAAATAAAAGTACTAAAGTCGCGTTTAGTAGCGAGAAACGTTTCTTGTTTTATGTTGTCAATCTCTAAAAAGGTAAAACGAAAATAAAAATCGCGTTCAATAAAATGTTTTTGTTTTTCTATAACAAAAAACGTTTTCAATTTTTGTGAAGAAAAAAGAAAACATCAAAATGATATTTCTTATGTTTTCGGCACTGTAGCGCAGAAACGTTTTCACTAATGTTACTGTATAAAGACTATTCATTTCAAATAAAATTCATATTATTTGTGTTATATACTAAGTTGCATATTAAATATTAATAAAAATAAATATTTTTAATATAGAATAAATTAAATATTATATATTATTTTCTATTTGATAAAAATATATTTTAATATATAATATATATTAAATAATAATGTAAATTATTTTTTGTGACAAAATTTTTTTTGATATAGAATATAATGTTATTAAATTATTAAGTAGTAGATATTTTATACTATTATATATCATATTTATATTATATTATATGTAAATATTACAATATTATAAAACAATATATATTTTATTACATATAAGATATATTATTTAATATTTTTTATTCATAATAAATTATCATATAATATATTATATATCACATAATAAATGTATACATCATGCATATACATGTATTTATATACATAATTGGTGGGAATATTTTTGTCTTGGTATATCTAATTTTATACTTATGATGTATTGGATATTTTGAAGATTTATAATTTTAAATTAGATTTTTTATATTTATGACTTTTTGATATTAATGGAAGCAAGTGTGGTGCCTGAGTGGTTGGGTTGCTCCCCATGTCTAAAAGTTCGTGTTCAAGTCATTTTCCTTTCCCTCTAATCAATAACTCCTAAAATTATTGCCATGAAAAAAATAAAAAATAAAATAAAAAATTTAAAGAATATTATGTAAATTTTGTAACAAATATGTTATATTACTAAACACCGTTATTGTTTTATATTTTTAAATTCGTGATAATAACAAGTGTTAATAAATATTTTTTTTATTTTTTATTTTCACTTAAGAAAATAAAATCATATTTATACTTTTTTAAAATTATAAAAACAAACAACGAAAACGTAAGCGTTATTAAACCTACGCTAACCAAACAAGCCCACACTTTACAAAACACTAGCGCAAAAAAGAAAAAAGAGGAAAGAACATTCATTCTTCTAGTGTGGCATAGTTGGCTGTATTAATTGTGTGCAGTGTCGGTTGAAAAGGGCAAGGACTAGTACAGCTTTTAATTTAGTAGGAGGCGAGGTTAACATTGAAATTTGAGGAGTGATAGTTGTCGGATGCTCTCTTTTGTCATTGGTTTCCGAGTAAAGCTAGTAACAGAGCTGAGATTAGGTGGGCATATCCAGTCTTGTTCATTCAAAATTTACTCATGAAATTTTCATACTACATTAATTACTAAATTAAACGTTGTACTAAATAATTCATTTTAACTTTTTACATGCACATATTTTAAAAAATATTTTAATTTAATAATTAAATACGAAAGAACTTTCATGAGTGGGGTCTCTTAATAATACTCGGTATTATTCTTTCAACCATCGCAATAACAAATGCTTAATACCCGTCATTTAGCTTGGTAAGAATGGAAAGGCTATTCTACCTTATAATTCCTTCTCTCTTGTTTCAAAATGGAATGGAAATTTCATTACATTTTCTTAGAACGCTCGTTTCATCGAAAAGCAAGAATACTCAATCCTCTTCTCGAGATTTTGAATGCCCATTCCAATCCCATTAATAATTAATAGAAAATAGTCAAAAGACAAAAAGAACCCTTGTCTTCCTCTTTCTCTCCCCTCCAACTAACCCAGATATCTGTATCTTCACACATATGAATGTATATATATATATATATATATATATATATATATATATATATATTATATCTATGACGTTAATAAACTACGGTTCTTTCTCTCTCTCCAGGTCTTTTACACGCGTTCTTTCTCTCTCTCCAATTTGTGCGCTCTTTCTTTGCGGTATACAACTCGACCCATATATATATATATATAGATATAGACATATATATTATATCTATGATGTTAATAAACTACGGTTTGTGCTTGATCAATTTGTTTTCCTTCCGGTATCCATATTGAGAATGAATATATGATAATCCCTGGCCCGTAGTAGTACAAACCTAAACTAAAGAGAAGTATATATTGTAACCTGCAGACTCGCTATCAAGCCTGAATGGTTTGTATTAAAAATTCACAAGAATTTGATTCTAGGAAAGTTTGAAACCAAATTTTCTATAAGTTAGACTGAATATTTCACCAGAAATAAATAATTTCTTTTTGAATAAAAGTTAATAATTAATTCAGTTTTTGACTAGTAATCTTGAACTAAAAACTTTTGTGTGGGCTGTTGATGTTGGGTTCTTTGGGTACATCCCTTGGGCAAACAAAAGATGATTATTATTATTTTTTTAATGCTGCAAACAAAAGTATCTTTTTGTAAAATAATTATATATATAAATTTTTAGATTTTACAAAAATTCATTCATTGGTATAAGCTAGTTATATTATTTTTTATTTTAAAATAATAAAATATAATTTTTTGTTAATATAATTAATATATTACAAGTAAGGGTATTTTGGAAAAATTAATATAAAAATTATTCCATTCTAACTCTTTATTTAGTCTGGCTAGACATGGGAATGAGAATGATCATTTCAGTCCTACGTCATTTTCTATTTGTACCAAACAGTGGAATGAAAACAGTCATTTCATTCCATTCTTACTTACATTTCATTCCTGTCTTGTTTCATTCTTGCGTATCAAAGTAGGCTTTAAAGTGTTTGATGCTGAAAAAAAAAAACTTATCATCCGGATGACTGGATCCCTTCAGTCCCAGATACACACACCTATATGTAGGCAAAAACAATAAAACAAACTAAAACTAAGCTTTACATGAGACAACAAAATGCTAGCAACTCTTAATTGGTATCCACCACAATCAAAGGTAGCCCAAGAATGTTTTCTCTGAAAGGATAATTATGAAATGATTGCAAACTTGTACTGAAATAATATACCAATTGGTCAAACGAAATTGTTAAATAAGATAGATAGATTGGCTTCAATCCTATGTTTTCACATGAGCAGATATCCGGAATTTGACTCCGGCCTGGCAGGACTTGAACTCCCTGACTTTTTAATATTTTCTTACAAATAGATATTTCGAGATATCACTACGTTACGGTTCTTAGTAATACTCAGGGTAATGAAACTTCATGAACTAGGGTCGCACCAAGTTTCATGATTGATTTCAGAAAGTGGATTTCCTTTTTCAAAGAAATTAATTCTAGCCATTCAATGTTATCATTGAAATTCAAGTGCATTTGATCAAGTGGTCAAGTGATTTTGTGGTCCCATAATCAATTAATCCTCCTTTAAACTCATATGATCCATATGGTAAAATTAAGTTAAATGGAGCCATTAAAAAGACTGATACATTAACAATTTTCTAATTTAAAGTAAAAAAGAGAAAAAGAGAAGGAAAAAGGTATGATAAAAATTAGAATGCATTCATTATGAACTCACACTCTCATTTCATGCAACAAACTTTCTTATGATAATAAATAAATAAAAGATACCCAGTCAACAGTTCATTTGATGTCCTCTTTGTTGCACACAAAAAAGGTATACCCTCCTTTTCTTAATGGTGACAAATGAGCTATAGGCTGGCCATAGCTAAAGCCATTAACTATTAATGTAATAATATGTTGGATACCCCCAAATGAATGCCTAGTGCTTACCCTAGATAAGCTCTCAATTTAAAAAAAAAAAAAACCTTATGAACATTAGAGAATAAATACCTTGAAGCATAACAAAGATAATTCTGGTCACACAAAGCAAAACTACATATAACACATATTTAAAGTACCTTGAAGCATAACAAAGATAATTCTGGTCACACAAAGCAAAACTACATATAACACATATTTAACATGTTTCTCAGAACAACAATAAGAAAAATCAGTAACTAAACTAGCAACATATTAAAATCCTCATGTGAGAGTTCACCTAACACTGTTAGATTCATGTGAGCTGAAATTAGGAAGATGAGCATTGAACCACCAATGAGTACTTATTTTGGATGCATAATCCATCAACCCCAATACTTAGAACTCAGCCATCTGCACACCAAAAAAAAAAAAAAAAATACTAATGTTGAATTAAAAACGTGAAGAATATAATAATCAAGAAATGGAACAAGAAGAAAAATCGAGAGAAAGGAAAACAGATTGATGTATAGAAAAAAGAAGTAGCTAAATTACCAATATGGTATCTGTTTTTGGATGCAAAGAGGTCTTGTGTTGACAGTGGCATGGAAGCTGAGAGGTTCTTAGCAAAGAATGAAGCATTGTTGTTTGATTGATTCTTCTGATCAATTTCAAGCCAAGAGTCTCTGCTATTATTCTTCGGCCATTCGCCGAAGAAGTGGTGGAATGGCTTCCTGCTTTCTACCTCCCTTTCTACTTTGATGATAGGCCTTGTTGATTTGAAATCACTACCCAAAATAAAGCAATTCTTCTCTTCTTCCTCCTCCTCTTGTTGTTGTTGTTGCCTCTCATGTTTTGAATTATCAGTAAGGCTTTGAAACAGTGACTGGGAATACCCAATAGAGGAATTCTTTGTTAGTTGTGCATATGAATCAGGCAAGCTTTGTAAAGTCCCTGTAGCATACCTGTCCCAATAAATAAATAAATAATAAAACGAAAAAGAAAAAAGTTTAGGCATTTAGTAAATGAATTGGTATTTCAATAAAAACATGAATTAGTGTATTGTATACTCAAAAACCTGCAATTTTCATCTAATTTAGAATAAGAGGCAGAGTCCAAAAAGAGGTGATGGGTAGTGTTGTTTAGAGGTCTAGAGGAGGAGGAGGAAGGAGGAGAGAGAAAGGGATGAAGAGGGGCATTATTGAAAGTACTCGTTGATGAAGAAAGTGTAGAAAGAGTGGTGGTGGTGGGGTTGATAATGATGGAGGAGTTTGGGGAGGAGTTAATAAAGTTGTTGATTGATGGGATTGGGATTGGGATTGGGATGGATGGTGAAGGAGGGTTAGGGTTAGGGTTAGGGTTAGTTGATGTAATAAGTAGTTCCACAGGCTTTCTTGAACGGTTCCTGCCTCTGTGCATATGTCTTTCACAGTATTTGGAGTCTGGATATGCTTCCTTTGAACACCTCCATTTCTTCCCATCTGTTCTTCTGCACCTCCAAGGCTCTGCATCTACTTTCCTGCCAAAACCCATCTGAAAACTTCCCCAACCCACTGCAAAATAACCAGACATTTACTTGCCTTTCAGACTGCAAATGTTTCACTATTTATACAATGTTATACATGTTTATATAAAAAAGAACAAAGAGCACTAGATAAGTGTGAGACTGTTATGAGTTAAAAATAAATAAATAAAAAGGCCTAATTTGGGATATGCGTATATATATTTGATGCTTACAGTTGGGTTGGTAAGAAAGGAGGGGTGAGGAGGACATTGAAGAGGATGAGTGGGTGCTGCAGCTTCTTTTGACAGTTAAGATGAGATCAGGTGGCACTGGAACTCCTGACACCATGTATTTGAAGATTAGAGCTTGGTGTTCAAGCTCTTCCCACTGAATTGCTGTGAATGGAAACCTGTTTCTTGCATTCATCATCATTAATTTTGAAAGAAAATTAAAACCAAAAAAAAAAAAAAGAGGCACACTTCAAAACAGACCAAGAAAAAGAAGAACTTCTTTTTAAAAGACTTGAGAGAGAGAGAGAGAGTTTGTTGTTTGTTTGACTGCTGATATTTTATGGTGCTCTTTTCTGCAGAATCTTCTGAATGCATAGGGTGAAAGAAATCTAATGGCTTTGATGGTAATATGTATACATACTTGCTGTTTCTGCCCACCAAACCCTCTCCTCTCCTCCCCTTTCCCACCTGAGTCTGCTCTTATTATGACTGCAACACTGCTCCCTCTGTTTCTGCTCTGCTTATGTTGTCTGTGCCACCTCCTCAATTATCCGTAAACAAATATCGGACAATATACATATATATTATATGTAATATTTAGGAATGGAATTTGGAAATCAACAGACAAAGATATAAAAATTAACACACAACTATGTTTATCATTAGGAGGGGGTCCTAACTCCCAAGAAAATATATGGACAATTAGCTAGCTAGGAATTTATACATTTTGTGTTTATAACTTGTACATCATGCAGGGAGAAAAATAATAGAAATTACAGAAATCATCACTAACATGGCGACGCAATGCAAACCTTTCATAATTTTTCTTTTTCGACCTCTTAATTACCGGGGAAAAAACACACACACACACGCACGCATTGATTAGAATTAAAATTGGTGAAAAAACTAGTTTATAGTTTTAAATAATATTTTAGTTTTTAAGGGCTGCTTGCACTCTGAACATGAAATAATTGGGGGGTGGAAATGAGTTTCATAAAGTTAAAAAAAAATGAGATTGTGACAGTGCAAGTTGAATATGTTGGTTGGCAATTAGAACCCCCATTGTCACTTTCTATTTACTTTCTGTAACAAAGTTGGCAGCAGATGTAAAGAGAAAGTGCACTGTTCATTGCAAGTACATGATGACTCCCCTTTGTTTTTCTCTGCCCCAAAACACATGCAACCCTCTTTTAACTCTTTTATTGTACCCTCAACCAGCCTACCTTTCATTCGTTTATCTCATCTCATCACACCCCTTACTCACTTTCATTTTTCCATGTTACTAACATGACAAACACACTTCTCTTTTCCACCATATTTCTCATTATCCATTTTCCTTGGGAAGCTCCTTTTCTTGGCAGTCTGTTTTTGTGTGTATGTGTGTGTGCATTTTTACAGTCCAGTTCTTGACCCTCCTCACATTCCATATTTTGACCGCGAATGTTACATCCCTATCAATGGTAACTTAAGTTACTATAATGTGTGAAAATAATTTGTTAAATGGTGTGAATTTTCACTTGTTTGAAATTTGTTATTATTCACTTTCAGGTGAATTTCACGTCATTATAGCAACGTGAGTTACCATTGATGTTGATCATGGCGAGAACTTTGATTGCCTACCAAACTTAGTGAGTTCCCTTTTTTTATTTATGCTGTGTTCGGTCAGTAAGAAGGAAGGAAAGGGTGTGGATAGAAAATAGGACGGAAAAAATGAATTGGATCCATCATTCTTTACAAATTTTCATCTGCCCCAAACATTGGCGGAAGAAAGGAGGGAAAACATGTAAACTATTTTAGAAGTTTTAAATTAAATATTATCCTAAATTATACAAGTTTTAAATTAAATATTATCTTAACATATAAAAGTTTTAAATTACAGTACTATCTCTATAGATTACAATATTATAAATATTATTGGATATAATGGTAAAAACAATTAAAACTTTCTCTCCTAACAACTATAGTAAATTATGAGTTTATTCTCTCATTTTCTATCCAACCAAAAAAAAAAATATATATATATATATATATATATATATCTTCTTTAGGGATGTCTCATCTATCTCTTCTTTTCTCCCTTCCACCCAATTTTTTTCAACCTCATTTATTTATTTGTGGCTGTCGAGATAAATGATGAACAATAATGTAAAGAAACAGAACAAACAAAAATTCTTCCTAGATTATCTTTGAGATCCTGTCTTCCCACGGAGGCAGAACAACATGATGAGTGGGTAAGAATTAATAGAAGGTGTCTGTAGTAACTTTTGTTTTGTTTTCTCAGTGATATATGAGTTCATCTTAAAAGGTGGCATTGGTTGGTGGAGTGATAACTGATAACAATTCTCAGTCTTGTAGCATAATTTAGGTATTGATTGATGGACCAAAACTTTTACTGCTTTTGAGGACTATGCAAACCAATTTTGCTTTTTCCGAGAAATATATTTTGAATTACTTGCAAGTGTTAGGGGGGTCAAATGTGCATGCATAGCAGTAACCATAGCAATCAGGGGTGGACCTTGGGGTACACTGAAAAACATTGTAGAAATCATGGGTGACGACTCAAAGTGTTCCTATTTCCAGAGGCCATCTAAACATTTAATGGATCCCATGTTTAGTAGGTTATACGTACCCATAGCATTCAATTCGAACACTTGCCAAGAAAAGCATTCAATTCGAATTCAAATACGTGCCAAGAAAAATATTCGATTCGATTCGAATCCATGTTCATATCTTTTTAGAAATAAATCCAGGGACCCAAATTTGTACTACGAAATTCATTGAACTGACGACATTCACAGCAGAGTCACATTGATCACTAATGTGACGGATTATCAATGTAATGATAAAACACCAAGCTTAATGGAATGATATTATCTATAGTATCCACAGGGACCTTGGACATTATATATCAACGCGAAAATAGAAACCCTAATTCTGAAAAGGGCGAAACTTCCATTTAGGATCATGGATTCTCAGGCTCTGTATATCAGGAGTACTTATACCAGGACCTGTAAATTTGTAATGTAATCCATGTGTTCTGGCAGGGTCCAGTTACAGAATACCCATAAAATTCAGTTTCACCTTGAAACCACAAAGTACCTAATAAGTATAGTATCATCTCCCAACTACTTTAACCCGTGAGATATAAGCAATGCTGTGCTACAATACAAGTCATTGCAATCACTGAAAACATTTCAGTAGCAGAATTTGCACAATTCCACCACGCATCACAGAAGAATGAAAGGGCTCATCTTTCAGTACAATTATCAAAAAAATTTACCAGCCATTCATCGCTTTTACATGTATTTCCAAGTATTAAATGGAACACTACACAAAAAAAATAAAAAATAAATAAAAAATAAAAAAAAACTATATATGTACCAAAATTTCCCCATTAGAAACACAATCAAGTCGTTTAATCTCAAAAGTATTTCTTTCACTCTCTCCCCATGGAGTCCATGTAATGCTACTGCTACATCTCTCAGCTACAACGGTTAGTGAAAATTCCACATCTTCCGAACTAGTGAAGTTAACTCCAGCTTTAATATGCAAACCATTTGCTCATTGCATCTCAAGAGTCGTATATTCTCACAGAGCTTCGGATTGTCTGCCTACACACTGGACACTTTGGTGCTACTTCCCGTTCAACATGTAACGCGCACCTTTGGCAACAAACAAGATGTCCGCAAGGGATGAATGCAGACCGCCTTCTTCTCAACAGGCAGATCACACACAGTTCTCCTTCTGGTACATCTCCAGTCTCTTCCGCTGTAAGAGTTTCGTCCTCAGCTCTAGCGGCAGCATCTTGCTGCTCAATTTGCCTCTGTTGCCGCCACGCTTTCCATCTATTCCAGTTCCTGAGAAATGCAATTTAAAACGATCAAACTGGAAACAGCACTCAATTATGATCACGTAGGAAGTTATTTTCACTGCTTAATATTTTGACGAGGGCATTATTATAACTACCATGGCCAAGTGTTTCAAGTTGATCATGTTTCAATGGATAGTAAGTTTTGATCACATTTCAGTTAGTTAGCCTGTTCTCCGTCATGCTTGAACAAAAAAATATGGGGATCTCTTCCAAGTTTACTATTAACTTCATATCTATTTGTTTAATATAAACAGTCATGGACAGCAGCACGGGGTACATAGTGTATGTCCTCACTCAAGGTGCAGAGTATTCTCCTTCCTCATCCATCCAATTATCCAAGAACCAAACAAAGTTACAGTATCATCAGGTCCTTTCTGAAGGACTGCCCAACAAATTAATTTTGAGTACTGCTACTGTGCCCTCAGCAACAGCCACAGATGCAATGAAACACAATTTTTAAACCAAGTGAAGTTTTTGATTCCTAAATCAAATTTTAAAGGTAAAAAAATATATTTAATAATATAGCTATGCCAAAATTATAGTACCTTACAACAGCGTAGCCAAGGATACCAACGGAAAGTGCACCAAGAACAATGCCACTCCACAACAATACTTTTGTCCTGAAAGCAAGTTCAACCACCATCTGATCCTTGCTCATCTCAGACCTGAAAAAGTGCAGCAACACCCATTACTACCCCTAGAAGCATCAACACGGAGAGAAATAGATTCTAAAGATATCTAAAATAGGAAATTGAATATATTAGTAAAAGGCGGAATTGATAGTGCAGTCTGTGATGATATTTAACCACCAAATGTTATCTAATGAGAATTTTTTTTTGTCCAGGACAGCATGAAAGGTTGATGGTCAGAAATCAATCACACATGCATATGGTATGAAGTTATGAACACATATACAGGTATGACACAGCAAATTATTTCAACTATAAAAGATTGTAACCACCTTGACCATGAACTGAGACAATTCAGTAGAGACATGTCTACTCGACAAATCTTTGAAGAATACAATACATACACAAAAGACACAAGAAGAAGAAAACACACGTTATACAAAATTATGTAATATATGATCTAAATTACTTTGTGAAAAGTTAATCTAATGTTTTATGGTCGTGACATGAAACATTAATATGTTAACTAATCACCTCATTGATTATACTTCTAACTGACCCTCACTTATTGAAGTTGACGGGGCGAAAATGCCCATGAGCATATTTGCTGGAAGAATCCCAAGGGATGGACCGAGCAGTTGAATATAGGCCCAAAGAATGCAAATCCGGCCCAGTTAAAGATGCCGCACCATGTGGATTGGGCCAACCAGCAAAGATAGAAGGCCCATCAACCCAAAAGCAAGGGCATGAAGGGAAGAAAATTAGGGCAACACAGCAACAACAGAAATAGGAAAAGAGAGAGAGAAAAGGCATCGTGTATTGTATACAAACTTTCCATATTGAGCAAGGGGGAGGATTTTTGTACACACACAAGTATTTCAAACTGACACATGCTTTTAATATAAAAAATTAATATGTTGTTGACATAATTTTGTATCAATAACTTGGACAAAAAATTAAACCACCAAAAAATTGTATAAATTACAGTAACTATACGTAAAAAATATACCAAGAAATAAGTCATTAAAAATACATATATTCATACACACATGTATAAATTGATAAAAATTTAATATATATAAGTATACACATATATAAGTATACACTTATATATGCACAGCCGTTGTGCCTCAATTTTTGGAAGTTGCCATTACAGATGTCCGGTGTCAATGTTGACACTAAACACTTGTGCCACCACATATCATAGCTTATCTCACCTTGACACCTAACTCAAGTGACCTTCAAAATGCTTTTACAATTGCAGTGGTTACACATTATTAGTCTCTTTTCTACAGACCAATCACCAGTTGTTTTCACCTTTATAAGACAGATGCTTACAAGTTACAACCACCCAACTCAATTGATTATGACTCAAAAATGTAGATTATCAGGAGAAGAATGGACAATCGTGCTATAAGGATTTGAGAAGTAAAACTATGCAATCCAACTAATGCTCTCTAAACCAATCTTACTTACAAGAAGTAGGGAAGATCTTTGCATGATTTGATCTCAGCAATTCCCTCTTTCAAACTACAAATTCCAACTGCAGTAATATCCTTTCCAAGAGGAAGAATCTTCTCTTCATCCAGCAGGCCAACCTTCGAAAAAGAACAAATTACTATATCAATCATCTATAAGAAAACAAGCACATGAGAAGACCAAAATAAAGGCAATCGCAGAAGAAGAAAACGATAAGATTGTTCAACTTCAAAAGAAAATTTCAATTTTTAAAGATAACTGATTCTACTACTAATGTATATTTTTGAACTCACAGGATATTCATGGCCAAAGAGTGCCTGTAGGAAAGTATAAGGAGAAGCATTGACAGGCTGCAATTGGTGATACACCGTTGTTAGAGGTAGCTGATGTCTTGAACCATCCATGTTCACAATAATATAATCAGACTTCGGCCACCTACCACTTTCAACAAGGACAAAAGGAACCTGCAGAAAGAACAAGCCACATCGTCACAACCTCAAGCAGTTTACACATGTAAATGTGCAAGTAAAAACATGCATGTGTCCTGAATCGACCACAAGCATTTTATCAATGTAAATTTGTAATGTATTAGACATTGCACCTTTAGTTAAACAAAATTGCCAATATACATTGTGGGCTATCCTAAAAAAATATTTGATTATTCGACCTCCTAAGGGGGCATGGAAGTCCAACACAACATAGGTCAAATTCCAAAAGAATCCCAAATCATTTGTGCATCAAGAAAGAAACATATATGAATGTCACTCTTCTTCTGGAGCATAATTTATCAGCACAGACTAGATCATAGCTACTGCATAAGAAAACAATAAGGCCCAGAGAGAGAGAGAGAGAGAGATGAATGGTACTAAACATATGTATTTGGAGATGTATGAGAAAATTTAAGTAAAAAATAGAATTCAATAAAGAGGCAATGGAATTTAATATGAGAAAAGACTAATACTACTAAGAGATAAAATAGAAAAAAATAGATAATTCACATCATGAAATTAATCTTAGATAGAATGAGCTGACCGGTCAAAATAAAAAACTAGAAAAAGATGTCCCAAAAAATTCATGGGAAGTGAATTATTATCTAAAGGAACTTGGTGGTAAGAGTAGGTTCAAGTTGCACAGATGCTTAGCAAATGAACAAATAATACCAGGCATCATTCAAGCTAAATATGCTACAAAAAAAACAAAAAGGAAGGAAAAAAAAAAAAAGAAAAAAAGAAAAAAAAGAAAGAAAGAAAGAAAGAAAGAAAAGAGCCAAAGCAAAACTGGTTGAGGCCAGGAAAAGTCCAAACAGAACCCAAAAAGCTGCATGGAGATAAAAGATTAAAGCCGGTGGAACCCAAACAGTTGGTTTTAAGGATCTGTTGCCAATACTTCATTTTTAGTTCTATTCTTAAAAAATTAGAATATCCTCCACAGGAATTGAACTACAGCATAATTTAGTGAGATGTTACAATGAAAAACTACTCCAGTGTTTTTCGATGACTTGTTAGATCCTTCAAATATACACTCTTAACTTTTAAGTTGATAAAGCACATTATAAGATATGGGTTTTAACTCCTAAACCAATAACAACAGATCATTAGCTAAAAGCATTTATGCCAACATGGACTCTTCAAAATTGCGTAAAGCAACTGTGCTAACGCATGCCAGTCAGACATGGGAACAGAACTTATAGTTAGATATGATCACCTAGTTAGCATTTCTAATAATTCAAGTTTATATCATATAGTTATACATAAAACTCTCTCAAAATGACTGAAACATTAATTTACTGTAGAAAATAAAAGAAAAATATTAAATATTTTATAAATACTAATTTGTTTCCCAATGTCCTTGGGTTTAAAGATTTGATAAATATGATGCTTAGACACATGTTGAACCTAATACACATACCCAACTTTATGTAAGATAGGCTAAACCCTTTCTTTTAGGGAAGAAGAATGTCCTGTCAGAAAAAGGAATAGAGCTTGATTAAATTGTTTCACTGAAATGATTATCCATCCAGAAAATTCCAGGCCCTATTACATAACATATCCAGGTATTAGCCAATACTTAAGGTTGCTCTTTGAAATTGATTGGCTATCTGTTGGCTATCCTTAGCCATTAATAAGATCATAAAGGAATTAGTTACCAATACCCGCTACACACACCCAAAAAAGTAAAATAAAAAAAAAAAAAAAAAAATCATGATTGCATTACATCCACTCACACGAGGATGTCGGCATCAATTAATATCGGCTGCATCATACCAGCATTGCAAAAATTGTTAATGGATGGAAGTACAACTAAGTAAGTACAATATTTAGTTAATTGAGGAATTATTCAAGAAATTGCATAGACTAGACTCTATGTCATAAAACCAACTTATTCTCCATTAATAAATCACTGGACTGCTCAAACAGCAATCATTGATATCATAACATCAGAAAATTCTAAACAATCATAAATAATGGGCCTCTCAACCTGGAAGATAACTGATCGGAAATTCCATGGCGTTGCCTTGAAAAACATTTAACTGATAAAAATCTACAAACTTGAAAGAAATTGTAGCAGTATTATGAACATACCGTTCTTAACGAGGTAGACTCTTGCTCTTTCCAAGATCTTGCAAACAGAGAGCGTAGATCGGAAGTCCATCCAAAAAAGCCCCTCCACTCATTGTATATGCACTACATATCATATGATATAAAGAATTAAAATTAAAGTTCTTTAGAAATTCAAGAAGAAAAAGTAAGAAGTAAATGAGTAGGACATCGTGAACTCTGATCTCGAAAACTGACATGGGTTGCCTGATCTTGGCATGTCATTAAATTCATTTTCCATCAATTTGATGGCCAACCGAACAAGGGATCCACATTAGGGTCTAAACATTTTGATATTTAATGTTCTTGATATATAGTCAGGTTATAGTTCTCCCACTAAATGATCTAAAATAAACAAGCAGGCAAGCTTATCCCAATTACTCTCTGTTTGGAGCTTGGAATGAATACAAAAGGAAGCGAAATTCTTAACTGTGAAGAAAAAAAAATAATTTGTTGTAACACTGAAAACTTAAAGATTTTTGCTCCTCACATTCTTTCGAGGTTGCGATGGTTACTTTTCCATTATCTTCTCTAACTTCCCTCAATCAAGGATTCAAGATCATATTGGTATATCTTTACACCCAAAAATAAACATTACAGAAGCGTTGTTTCAAGAGTTACAGGTGTAACTTAAAAAATATATGATGTCTTCAACTTCAAGGACTATTGGATGATACTTGCCACAATTTTTGAGAAAGAAACGTGCATAGTCATAGATAGTGCTTCAGCACTTTTTTTTTGATAAGTATAGTTCTTCAGCACTTTAAATGGGCAATGCAGCCATTTAAGAGCGCTTTCTTCCAAAATACCAGCCATTTAGCTCTTTGCTTTTCTTTCAGTTTAGTTCATCATATCCAGCATTTTATCTTCCAGTACACTTTATTTTCAAGCATTTTTTTTTTTACTGTTTAGTATCATTATTGTCCTTGTGGCTTGTAAGATTACTTTTCTTGCACATTTACTGTCCCATAACCACAAAGTTTCATTAAACCTTTCATTGTAGCAATTTTTAGATTCCTAAAACTGCTAAAGTAGAACTAAGTTTCTCTCCACAATCTTAAAACAAGATAGTGCTTATAAAAGTGTTGTCTCAATAAAATAAAGATGCTCTCTATTTATCTTCATGCAATGTGTTTTTGTTTCATAGTCTGAGTGTAATGAAAATCCTCTTCACTGAGTTTACTTGGCATCTGCAAATTCTGCCAAGCACCAATTCAAGCAGATTTTTAAGGATACATCAATATTATATAGCAAGCAAAAGTCTCAAAGTTATCAGATAGGATTCAGAAAACCATAAAAGCAACTGAGCACAAAATATGGTATAAACAAATTGAAAACAGTAATTTGATTTATTTTAACTTTTTTGATAATTATTAATTTGATTTTTGTTGTTAATCACATAAGAAATCACCTGAAACAGTGCCAAGTCAAAAAAAATAAAAGTTATTATAAAAAGAGCAGATTCATAAACCAAAACCTAAATTGAAAATTATGTTTTCATAATTCAACATTTCAATGAATTCCCAACGAAAAGATGATTTATACCGTTTGCGTTCTCTGAAGAACGACGCCTCTATCTCCTGACTCGTGAGAAGCGAGCACATTTGGCGGCTTCAAGCCCTTCCAATTTCCATCAACAGCCGACTTCGCCTCGACTGTGCCGCGAACTATCAGGAGCTTCCCGCCGTCAGATTGCTCCGAAGAATCTTCAACGTCGGAGGAAGTAAGTACAGAGCGGAGGTCGGAGACGCGGAGAGTAGGAGCTTCTCGGATTTTATGGAGGGCAGAGGAGTTGGAATTAAATCGGAGGAAGCTACGGACGGCGACGTAGGCTAGGGCTACGCCGAGGACGGCACCGTCCGCCGCTAGGGCAACGTGGGAGAGGACGGCCGCGGCCGCCTGGTCGTGAACTGACATCAGAGAGAGAGTATAGGGAATCGGGAGTGGAGGGAGAGTCGACGACGGACAGAGGACGAATTGGTGGAAAACAAATACAGTACTGAACCTATAGGATCACTTGATTCATGGCTTGTATTACGGTTAAATAGGGTATTGCCGATGTGGCCGTCTTTTATTGGGTAAGGGAATATTTTTACTTTTTAACTTTGGTAAGTCAAATCATTTAGCAGTATTTCTTGCACAACTAGGTAAAAAGTTGTGTGTGTATTTAATCTGTATCTTTTTTATTCCATTGCCATCTGGATAGTACTTGTAAGCCTTAACCTCTAAGCATGGGAGTGGAAGATGTCATCAAAAGTTAAATACAGGGACATTAAACTCCGTCCTAATCCGATCCAGTAAAATAAGTTTTGTAATGTAATTTGTTTCAATAAATCTGAGACGTTATTTTAATAAGCTTTGTTAACAAGAGTAACCACACTTGACATTCGCATCTTGTGAAGTATTAAGTTTGAAGTTGGATTTTATTCAGACTCTGTTTATTTTGTCTAAAATATTTTTTTTGCAAATGATTTTTATTTTTACCTTTTTTTTATATTTGACAAAAGTGTAGGTCCAGATTGACATTGACGTAACCTAAGTCATATAAATTAAGTTATAAATAATGAAAAAGATTGTGTGACATAGGATGTGACGTATAAAATAACTTGCTGAAAATTAATGAATAAGTTATTTTTGTTATTTTTTAATTCTTTTTTCTTCGTAAATATTTTACAATAATCAACCACCAAAAAATTAAAAAATATTTTCTAATAAATATTTTACATCCAAGCGAACCGAACTTAAATGTAAATAATTTCTTTAAAATTAAACCTCCAATTATATTAAAACTCTACAATAGGAGATTGAGTAAAAGGGAGATTATTTGGCTCTCTCCCTTTCAATGTCAACCTTTTTTTTTTTTTTTTTTGGAGGATTCCATAAAGGCATTCATTTTTTAGTACAGACTAAGACCTCCAATTTTAAAGCAATATACCTAATAATGATAATAAAATAAAATAAAAAATCTAATAAGATAACTTTTACCATTATTGAAAAAAATATATATAATAAAATAAAAGTCCACACTGAATCATATCAAAGACATGAAAAAATGGAAGCATAGATAAGGTTTTTCTTTGGAATTTGATTTCGGATATGGATTAAAACATTTAATTCCTGTTAACAATTTGAATCTAATAACATAATAGATACATACATACATATATGAGGGAGGCTCTCATGCGATCAAAAACAACGGACTTTTTAACAGACTAAAAGTCAATTAGGAAAATTACACTTTATTACTTTTTCAGATCTAATCATAGTTAATTTATCATAATTAGCCAATATATTTATTCAATCTCTTTCTCCTTAATTTCTTCCATTGTCCTTGCAACCTCAATCACTCACTATCTTCACCACTACAGCCATTATCTTTACCACTACATCCACAACACAATTATCATATTCATTCTCTAAAATCGGATCCAAGTCACCATCTCTTTCTTTCTCTTCTTTTTGCACTTTGATTGATTGATTTATTTATTATTGTTTTTTTGCTCTGCCTGACTATTGCTCTCTTACTTATTTTTTATTTTTTTCGTCGACCCATTATCTACACTTTGTGAATAAGGTTTTTTTTTGGTTCAAATGATACCAATTTTTTAGGCTTCGTGAATAAGCACAGCCTCCAATAATGGAGTCTCAAACAAAAAACATATATTGCTTAATCCTGCTATGAAAACAATAAAAAGTCTTTGAAAAATTGGTAGTTGTGTTGTGGCTGTAGTGGTGAAGATGGTGACTATGATGGTGTGGATATGGTGATAGTGGTTCAGATTATAAGGATGATAGAAGATATTAAGCAGAAAGATTGAATAAAGGTATTGATTAATTATGATAAATTAACTTAGAAGATATTAAGCAGAAAGATTGAATAATTGTATTAATTAATTATGATAAATTAACTATGGTTAGATTTGATAAAGTAATAAAGTATAATTTTTTTAATTGACTTTTGGTCTGCTAAAATGTCTGTTCTTTTGGACCGCATGAGAGCCGTCCTCATGCATATATAATCTAATATTTACATAATATTAAAATGTTTTGATTGCTGGGCTCAAACTCGTCCAATACTATTTGATGGTCAGATAGGAAGATTATACCATTGGACTTCTTATTTGATCGGTCCTAATGAACTTTTTACAAGCCTAGAGTGTGAATGTAATCTATTATTACATTTTCTTGGGGATATAAATATTATACCATTTCAAATCTAAGTCACAAAGAGTGGTCTAAAATTTTTGAAATAGGTTTAAATAAAATTATATCAGGTCATGACATATATATTTTATATATTTTTATTTATTTAAATTCATATGTAAATATATTCATAATTATTTATTCCATTAATGATATATGTAATAAATAAGTTAACTTTTCTCAGTAATAGGTAGCGTGATTGATTGGAAGTTTTTTAGTAGTATATTTTCAAACATGTATAATTAATATATATATATATGTGTGTGTGGTTATATGGTAACTACATACAACTGGGGCACACTGAAAATTTAAATAATTAATGCATATATTGAGTAATAGTATAAGTAATAAATGCATATATGGTAATATAGGTGTAAATTTAGCTATATAAAGTAATGGAAATCGCAAATTACGAAAAAAATTAAATTCACGAATTCAAATTAAAAATAAAAATTACTAAGAAGTAATACTTTTAAAGTTCTAAGATCCTAAAATCTTATTAAGAGTCATTAGAGTGTTTATTTTTTTTTATTCTACAAATTAGGGGAGGGAGACTCGCACGCACGCAAACTCCCGCAGATACAGTGCTTTAACAATAAACCAATGCTTTAAAGGAAACTAAAAGGCTATGATTTGGAGGATGGATCATCGCCAAATCGCATAAAATTACAATACATCCATATCTGTAACCTACAATTACAAATATAGCCTCATTGACAGGCAATTCTCTACCAATACACTATTCTTTTGTCTCACAAATTGCAGATCACTTAAAAGTAATTTCTTGTAAGAAAACAAGTTAACAATAAATTAGTGTTAACTTATTTACCAAAAAAAATAAATAATAATAGTGTTTACTTGTGCTACAACTGCAGTAATACATGCTTAGATGAAGGTCGATGTTATTATTTACCCATTGAATTTTGATTTACCAAGAACAAATAATTTGATCAAATGATTCAAAGTATCGGGAGATTCAACATTCACTGCATGTCCGGTGTCCTTTATGATTTCTAACTTCGATTTTGGTCCCAAGTGCCTACAACATTCATAATTATATGTTAATTGTTAGTACTTATATTAGCACACATAATGTGGTTAAATGCAAGAATCAATTAAAGGAAGGCGAAGTACCTTTGCAATTGATGAGCCAAACATACAGGGAAGACATTGTCCTGATCACCCCAAATCAATAGTGTTTCCTTCACCAAAGAAAGATATAATTCTTCAGATTGAAAAGTAGCATAGAATCAAATCATGTTTGTACAACACACAGTCACACACACACACACAGTGGTCATTGCTGATGGATAATTAAAAACTCAAGACTGAGAAACACCAATGCAGTCATGGACTACTTTGTAGGAATCACATTGGTAGCAACATACATATACATATACATATATATATATAGTTAGTAAGCAAATTAAAGTAATTGAAACATAATTGACCTGGGTTAGAATGGGAAAATCAGAATCTGCTTTCATTGCCAGAATATGTTCCACCAGTTCTAGTTTTTCCTTCCTGTAATCCTTACACATCACCTAAAAATGGCACCAATTAAACAACATAAATTATTAGTTATGTTTTTTAGGCAAAAGAATAGTTATTTTTTCTAGGCCAAAAAGCAAAAAACACCCTTGAAGTATAGGGTTGTTGCAAAATGCCCCCAAGATTATTTTTTGGAGCAAGTTGTCCCCTCAACTATTAAAAGCAAGTAAAATACTCCATCTAACGTGATTGGAACAACTTTCTGACTAATACAATTATTAATTTACCCTTAATTATTAATTAATTTATTATAAAAATTATAAAATGTGAAATACCAATAATGTTCTCATTTTTATTTTATCTTTTTCTTCTTCGGTCTTCCGCGCGGCAGAAAGCCGACCATCGCCCACAATGACGCCGGTAATTTATGCCGGAACAGAGCTTCCTGTGATCAGCGGCAATGGTGAGATCGGAGTTGGCTTCGGAACTGGCCACATGAGGTGAGAGGCAAGAGACCGTCCTCCTCCTCCGCCGCCCCTTCCTCATCCCTCACCTTCAAGCAACAACTGCCTCGTCGCCGAAGATAGCTTTGTAAAAAAAAAAACCATTTATAGAATTGCAAGACAGTTGCCCACCGTAAACAAATGTTACTCGTTGGCCACTCTTGCTCGTCGCCAAAGTGGTGTCTCGTCGCCGAAGTTGCTGGTCGTTTCTCGCAGTTCTTCCTTGCATCGTCGTTCATCCCTCACCTTCGCTTTAGCCTTTATGTGTTCCTCAATTTTCAATTCATATTCATTGTTTTGTCTCTTGATTTTGTTGCAGACAAGGTTTGCTCTTGATTTCTTGATAGTGTTACCACGCCTTCATTCTCACTTTCTGCTTATTTGGGTTCACAATTACTTTTTATAATTTAGCTTTTTTGTGTACTTAGTTCACTGTTTATGTATATTTTATTCAATTACTAGTTTTTGATATTCACTTTATGAGTTAGGCAAGAAACTGTGTGTCGCGATGCAAACAAAAAAATATATAACTTGGCGGAAAAATGGTGTTTGTGGGCGATGCTTTCCCCGAACATGAGGTGTGTGTGATGGCAGCTAATAATTAAAAGTAAATTAGTAACTTGGCGGAAGACGAAGAAGAACAAAATTGTATTTTTATAACTTGGCGAAGACTGAAAAAGAACAAAATAAAATAAAAATATGAGGATATTATTAATATTTCATATTTATGAATTTTATATTTTTTATAAAAAAATTAATAATTAAGTGTAAATTAGTAATGGTATCATTTGCGGTTCGAAAACTTGTATTCGATAATGACATTAAAGAGATCATTTTGCCGTTCGAAAAATTGTATTTGATGACGTTAAAGAGGACATTTTGAACAATCTTATAGTTAAGGGGTTTTTTCTTTTCTTTTTTTTTTTTTTTTTTTTTTTTTTTTTAATCATTGCAATTTGTTGAAAATCAATTATAGTTATAAATTATTAGTTATTTTTTTGATGTTACAGTTATTATGATTGGTTGAAAATCAATTACAGTTGTACTAACACTTCTCAGTAAATTATAATCCAAACCATGTAATAACAAATTGCAGATCCTACAATGACTCACATTGATAAATTCCTTGAGGAGAAAATCTGGGACCCACTTGAAAGGATCAAACTTGTAAATGGATAGATTAATCAGCAGCCGTAGATCATCCGGTTTCTCCGGCAGGAGAATATCACGTGGGTCCCGGTTAAGCTTCCTCAACTGCTCACCTTTCTGATCCTCGGTGCACCCTATCCCACTACTCACGATCACAACCTTATCCACCATCTCAGGACAAATCTCAGCCATCCGATACCCCACGAACCCACCGTAACTGATCGCGTACACCGAGAACCTGTCCACACCCAATCTCTTCAACCCCTCACAGACACACCTGGCTTGAAACAACTCGGTCCGGTCCGACCGGTTCGTGAATGACTTGCCGAAGAAGAGTAGGTCCGGGACGTAGAGATTGAAGCACTGGGAGAGTGGGCCCACTTGACGGACGAATTGCAGCCGTGAATTGCCGCCGTAGCCGTGGATGATGACCAGACCGGGTTTGTCGAACCGCCTGTGATTGGTGGTCCAGAAGTGCATGGTGGTTTGGTCATCTAGATCAACGGTGCAGGGGGAGAGACCACAGAAGCGGAAGTAGACGGATATGATGGCGTCGAAGAGGGTGACGAAGAATGGGAACCGCTTGATGGTGAGAAAAATGGAGGCTATGCGTTTTAAGATGGAGAGGTAGAATGAGAGGAGATGATGAGAGTCCATTAGCCAGTTTTGAATTGAGAGAATGCATCGTCTTGTTGTGGTCGAAACAATAAAAGGTGGTTGTCAAGGTTAGTTCCGTAATTTCATATATTTGGACAACTTATTCCCACACATTTAGCTCATGCACATGATTTGATTCATTATAATGCATTTATATATCACAACAATTATTATTATTTTTTTTTGAAATCTGTATTTTGCATGATTTAAAAATGAAGCATATGACCCATGAGTTTGCAGACAAAGATATCTGTCCAATAAAAAATAAAAATAAAAAAGAAAAAAGAAAAAAGAAAAAGAAGATATAAAATCTCAATATATAATTCCAAGGAAGATCAAATTGAGTAATGCATTTTGGATTAAGAATCTACGTACGTTCATTTATGAAAGGAGACACAAATCCTTGCCGGACGAGAAACTATTATGCGCATGATTTCGAATTTCAATGAATGATGATTTAGAACAAGTCACACAAAATTCGGAATTATTTAATAATTTTTTACTTAATTTAATGTTGGTCTTTGTTTCAACATTTTTTTTCTTGACATATTGTCACATATAAATTAATTAATGCCAACGGTCTACTAAAAACTTAACTAACAAGTAATATTTAATTCATGTAACTTCTTTTTTATACTTTGATGTCACACAAGGGATCCAGATCATTATTTATTGTAGCTTGCAATAGAAAGAAATGGCAGTTGATCGAAGTGACAACGGATGCTGAAAATGGTGGCATTGATTTGAAAATCTTATGCTTCCCGCATTATCTTTCTAAGGCCCACATGTTGCTTATGCCACTATATTAATTAAATAATAATAATAAATTAGAGTTATTAAAGGAAAGCATTAGATTAGCTTGAATGCTTAAATACTATACTTTGCTTACTTCACAGTTCACATTCACACAAATTGTTCAGCTCAATGCATGAAGAAAATAATAAATTAAGAAAGTTATTGACAAATTTAATTGAAAAAAAGAATAATCATGTAGGGCCAATAATGGTTTCTTATCAAGCTAAGCTAAGGCTATTGCTTTTACGTGAAGCCTATGATCAGCTTGAGCTTAACAAGTAATAACGCCTTTCACATTAGTACAAATCAAGCCACAATATGTGAAGTCACGTAATATTATTATTTCAATATTAATATTACTTGACTTCTTGACATAAGTTACTTTTATTTTTATCAAAAACAATTCCTGATTTTTTTTTGGTTCTCGGTAGTCATTTAAAATATATCACTCGACCTACCCTTTTAACAAATAAGAAAAAAGCTATAATTTGAGACTTAGCCTCCTGTTTGTTTGGATATAAAATATTTTTTAGAATTTTTTTTTAAAAATTATTTGTTGGTGTTAGGGTTTACAAAAAAAATTAAAAAATAAAAAATTAAATTAAGTTAAATTAAAAAATAACTTAACTCATTAATTTTCGACAAATTATTTTACACCCCCTACTCGATATACTCACCCCGACCTAGATATTTGCCAAATATTGAAAAATAAAAATAAAAAAATAAATTTTACCAGAAAGAGCAATAAAAAAAATTCGAAAAAAATATTTTATGGAGACTTAATATCATATTATTGTTTTCGGATATAATCATAACATTGGGAAGTCTTGGTTAAAGATTTAATTATTAATTTATTAAAAAAAACTTAAGGGAAGGTTTAACTTCGTTGTCAAAACTTAAAGTCCTTTCACTCTTTAAAAAAGTTCAACCATAAAAGATATGTTAGAATCAAAATGACAAAGAGCATGGCTGGCCCTTATCCACTAAAGGTTATTCAATGTCAAACTAATGCTGTCAAGTAAGCTAAAAAAGAAAAGCAATCTAATTTTCAAAATATATAATATCGAGTCTATTGAATTAATATAATAATTCCCATATTTTGACTTTGATATTGAAAATTTTGATTAAAAAAAAAAAAAACATTTGTAATTCTGAAATTAAAGAAAGATATGAAGGCCACTTCTCATGCAAAATACTAAAAATGTGAACGCTTGACCAAAATGACAGATTTTTCATGTTATGCTTACTTATACAATGTCATGCATAATGCAATTAGCAACTATATTTATTTTAAATAAAAAATTTGAACATCAAGTCCAATCCAAGTTTATTTTTTTATACTTGAATTAAGACATAATCGGGTTAGGCTGAATAGACTAGTGATGGCAAGATTAGGCTTGGGACTAAGGACAGAGCCAATGAAAGCCTAGGGGGGCACGTGCCTCCCTGAGTTGGCCCGCACTCTATAATATATGTGGTAATTTTTTTAAAAAAATTTCATATATATAAAAATATATATATATATATATACACTGCCCCTTCAATTTTGTAATTCCTAAAATTATTTCTTTGTTTTCTTTATTTTTTCTTATACTTGAAATCCTAGCTTCGTCCCTGCTTGGGACAATAAAAATATTACTCTTTTAATAGGATTATAACTTATAAGAACATTATAATACTGGTCGAATTTGGATTACTCAGATAAATGAAAAATAACTCACAGATCATTATTCAACTATTTATAATTTCGCTTCTCCTCTTAGTAGAAGAAAAAAGGATGAGAGGAGAGTAAAATTTTTAATTTCATACCAAACACAAGCAAAGATCCAAAACCAAATTAAAGCCAGTACTGCTAAAGTGATATGGGCTTGGGTTGGGCTTGGGCTACTTACCCAGAAAAAATATATATATTTTTTTTGAAAAAAAGAAAAGAAAAAAAAGGATTGAACTTGGGCTATAAAATCATACCTCGACACCTTCAATTGATGACAAATATGACATAATAAATATATATACACACGCACTCACACGGTACTCTTTGTTAACTATGTTCCTCCTCAACATGTGGTTTATGCGTGTGTGTGAATATTTTGTTACTAAAAATAATATTCAAATTGTACCTACAAACTGAATTTTTTTAAATATAAAATCCTTTTTAGAGAGATAAATATTTGAAACTAATTAGCCATTCGAGCTTCCAAATTAACAGTAAGCAAGGTTATTTTAAATCGGATGCCATTTAATGTTTCTAAGTTCATAGAAAATATGACTTTCACAGTGTTTTAGGTTTGTGATTCTCTCTCTCTCTCTCTCTCCTAAATTTGTATACTTTGAAGTGTTTGTATCATGAATTTATTAATTTTGAATGTTCATTATATATCATTTGATAAACCAAGATGGATTTAGGCAATTATCAATTCCACTCCTATTTTTACAATTATTATTCATTTCAAAATCAAATATCAAGTAGTTGAGCTTGTCCTTTGTCACACCCCTACATCATGAACCCTAATCGGACATTCAACCAAAGCTTCGTTGTTTTTGTTTTTTTTTTTTTTTTTTTTTTTTTTGTATACCCTTTGTTCGATACTTTGCCTATGTGTAATATATTTTTTTGAAAAAAAAAAAAAGGTTTGAACTTGGGCTATGAAATCATACCTTGACACCTTCAATTGATGACAAATATGACATATATACACATACACTTACACAATACTCTTTGTTAACTGTGTTCCTCATCTTATGGTTTATGCGTGTGTGTGTGTCTCTGAATATTTTGTTAATAAAAATAATATTCAAATTGTACATACAAACTGAACTTTTTACAATACAAAGCCCTTTTAGAGAGATAAATATTTGAAAGTAATGAAGATAAATAACTTGAATTTTAGACTTACCTTATCTGAGCTGATAAAGAGGCCTTGATTTTCAAGACTCTTCATATCAATGTAGAAACTGACTATTTAGGGCTCAGACTCGAAAACCCTAATTGAACATTCGAGCTTCCAAATTAGCGGTAAGCAAGGTTCTTTTAATTTAGATGCCATTTAATATTTGTAAGTTCATAAAAAAATATGACTTTCACAGTGTTTTAAGTTTGTGATTTTCTTTTTCCCTCCTAAATTTGTATACTTCAAAGCTTTTGTATCATGAATTCATTGATTTTGAATGTTCATTATATGTCATTTGATAAACCAAGATGGATTTATGCAATTATCAATTCCACTCCTATTTTTACAATTATTGTTCATTTCAAATTCAAATATGAGCTTGTCCTTTGTCACACCCCTATCAACATGAACCCCAATCGGACATTCAACCAAAGCTTTTTATTTTTTATTTTTCCAAAAAATTGTATACCCTTTGTTCGATACTTTGTCTGTGTAATGTTCTTTGCACAGTGGATCCCAAGCCCCAAAAAAAGAGGAGGGTTAAGCCTAGAAAAAGGACGACACTTATGATAAGTAGTCCGACAATCAATGTAAAATTTTTGTAAGACAATCATAAAACTTAATTTGATCAATATATCAGTGAAAGATAACAAAGTAGGTTGATTTGAGTGATTGTGCCACTGCCTGCAATATTTTCCAGTTTTTCCCTTTGTAGATATTTTCTAAATTACTTGTTACAATGCTTGGATTGGTCTAACGTAATGTAAATTATGATTTCTACCACTTGACATGTCTCATTTGATTGTGAAGTCCATCTTAATGGGTAAATAGATTTTTGTAATTTTTATACATCAAAACCCATTGTTTTATACACATTTTCTTTAATTGACACTAGTTTCTGCTTTGGAATAGAACTGCTTGGAGAAGTTAAAAAGTTGAGTAGCGAAAGGGAAAAGGGCCAACAAAGGAAATGGCAGATGGAGATGATCAAGACTTGCCAAGGGATGCAAAGATTGTTAAAACACTGCTGCAATCAATGGGTGTCGACGACTATGAACCTCGAGTCATACACCAGTTCCTAGAGCTCTGGTATCGGCATGCTGTTGATTTATTGACAGATGCACAGGCATACTCGGAGCATGCTGGGAAGGTTACAATTGACACCCATGATGTCAAGCTTGCTATTCAGTCAACAGCCAATTTCAGCTTCTCCCAACCCCCACCTCGAGAGGTAATTAGCTTAAAGTTACTCTTAATGTGCTCTACATCACTATTTTGGTGCTTAGGTCCCAATATTGTTTCCACATTTGTTTGCAATACAATTAGTAGTATATAAACTGTTAAATGTAATTTATGATTATGTTTGGATTGTTGATGGCATTTTCACTCAACAGGTTTTGCTTGAGTTGGCTAGGAACAGGAACAAAGTCCCATTGCCAAAATCAATTACAAATCCCGGGATTCCTCTTCCACCTGATGAGGACACATTGATCAACCCGAACTACCAGCTTGATATACCCAAGAAGCAAACTAGCCAGACACCGGAAGAAATGGAGGTTGGTGAAGAGAGCGTCAAACCGAGTTCTAACGCTTTCCAATAACAGAAGACACAGCCAATGAAACCCACTTCTCAACAGGTATCCTTTCCCCTTCAAGCTAGACGTCCGAGATGAAGTTTCAAGGCCATGTCATGTTTTTCCTGGTTAATTTAGAATCAAAATGATGAATGTTCAACGGTTCATGGATTTCAGAGATTTACTGTGTTTTTAGTTCATAGTAAACTCAAATAAAGCTAATTTTGGCAACGGTGTTCTTACTAGAATAGATCGAGGCAGTGGGTATTTAAGAATTCTGAATGCCAATTACTTTGGCAATGGTGTTCTATTCTTTATTTGTACTTACAAACGAATTCAAAAACACCAAATTTGGCTAAAAGTGCTTTTCTTGTTACCAAAACACAATTGGAAGAGAGCTTCTAAATTAAAAGTGCTTTTAAACCTTCCAGCCAAAAGCCAAATATGCTATAACATACTCAAAATGGTTAATTTCCGCAGAAGTAAAACTCAGAAGAGTTGCATAAAAGAACATGATAACCAAACCAATGCTATGCGAACACCTCTACCATTAAATTCAACTTTTGGCTCTTTGTTGAGAATACAGTTGTGTCATTGTTCTTAATTCCAGAGCCACACAGCACAGCTGTTCTATACAAATGCTTGATATTTATATACAAGTATGGTGCAAGGGTCAACTTCTCCAGCCAGCTATGCTACTAGAAGCAGACCCAGTGCCAGATACAGTGAGGCCTCGATAATACATGCGCTGTATCTCTTCCCTGTACTCCGTCAATGACTTGTCAGGTATGGCTGGGGTTAGCTCCACCACATCCCCCATTTTCAGCTTGCAGGTGGGATCATCCACGGCCTCGTGATTCAGCCTTGGCCTAAGTTCTTCCTTCAAGGGAAATCCATATGGAGTCCATCTAGAGCTTCCACGACCGGTTCTTTCTAGCAGATCCAGCACGGTTGAGTTCGCTGGGAATTCTTGCACTGACATCTGCATCACCCAAAAACCCATTCATTAACATGTTTTGGTCAACATTCCTGAACCAAATGACCAAGTGTTTAAACCAAAATGCCAAACATGATGCAATGTTACAACTGCTTAAAATGTCTGATGAATCTATTGAAAATACCAATTATGCAAAATTCTCAAAAACAAACCTTATCATTTTCCAGCATGATGACAAAGACAGGTCCCTCCATTCCACAGAGAGGTTTATACGAATATGGGCAATCTTCAGAATGAGAAGGGAATTTACATGGTGGCTTGATGGAATCCGCACGGCCAATGGACAAATGGTCTTTGCTCATTGTCTCGCACTGCCAGGTGACAACCCATCGGGCCCACTCAACCATCTGAAGCACAAAAGAAGAGTGTTTACAGTCACCTTCCTTGTATCTCCAATGAGCTGCAAATCCAAACTCAGCTTGTAAATGCATCTCCTTTGTTCGAATCTGAACTTCAAGTGGAACCATACCCTCGGCCATCACTACTGTGTGTAGAGACTGGTACCTACAAAAGATGATCAGCTTCATAAGAAAACCGTCTGATAGTCAATGATACCCCCACTTTGAGATGTAACATACCCATTAAACTTCGGATGATTTATGTAGTCCTTGAACTTCCCAGGTACTTCAGACCATAACTGGTGAACAGCTCCCAACGCTTTATAACAGTCTTCCTCATTTTCAACTATCAACCGTAGCCCATGAATATCATGGATTTCATCCATGGTTAGCTTTTTTCTGCACAATATGAAAGAAAATCACCCCCTTGCAGTGAATTTAACAAAACTAGATAATATAACGTAAAGATCAATGATAAACCAGACATCCTTAAATTCATTACCAGATTCATACAACCACAATAATGTAATAATGCTGATTTAGCTGACCCCTCAGTAACCTTGTACTGAAAGAACTCAGATATTCAAATATATTTTGGAAGGCACCAGTAGTTCATTTTAGCCTTGCAATCAAGCTAGAAACGAATTTAGGTCATTGCCTAATTGAATTCTTTTACACCTTAGACAATTCAAGAAAACACCTTAAATACTTGTTAGCTCATTTGTGTCGTCCTCTGAATGTGTTTCAACGACCATATCTGAAAAATTATAAATTCACTCGTGCATTCTCATATGCAAATGCATGAGAGAGAGAGAGAGAGAGAGAGAGAGAGAGAGAGAGCATACTTTAACATTTTGCAGTAGATGCTATACAAGCTTTTGTGCCGCCCTGACAAGACATGGTAAGAAACATCTCCATCGTTAAGTGCACGCTCTAGCTTCTCTACAGAAGATGTAATCATCGCCTCATCAGAAGACTGCACAAGTCTAGAGGAGAGTTCTCTGTGCTGATCTGGGTTGAGATGTTTGAAGCAAAGGTTTTCTAGCTTCTCTTTCCAACTAGAAATCCCTAAACGATTGGCCAAAGGAGCAAATATCTCCAAAGTTTCTCTAGCAAACCTCTGTTGCTTGGCCAGAGGTAATGCATCTAGTGTCATCATATTATGTAATCGATCAGCCAGTTTTATAAGGACAGCCCGGGCATCCGCCATCGCAAGGAACATGGTGTGTAGGCGATCCGCCTCAACAGTTTTACATGCTGTATCATTTTCACGTGCAAGCTTACTCAATTGACTTAGCTTAGACACCTATATAAATGCCAAACTGTATTAGAAACTCATAGCTACAGATCTTTTTATCAGGACCATTATCAAAATAGTGACAAATAAAAAAAAAAACCATGGGGAAAAAGGTTAAAAATAAAAAAACTAATCAACTTTTATTTTAATGTACCGTCGAAAACATTTATGCACCTTTTTTATTCTAGCCTGGAAAATGGTCATGCACTTGACATCCCTATACCTTCCAAAAAGGGAAAATTCTGAACAATATTTGGATCTATAATCTTTAATGTAGGGGTGCCTCTAATAATTTTGTGGTAATCAGAATAGGGGAGGAACAATCAAAAGGCTCATCTTAGCAGCACCTTGATTCTGAAAATTTACTTCTAGAAGAAAAATGCATTGCAACCAAAGAAAGGAAGAAAGAGACTGGTTTAGAGTTAACTTAAATGTGAACGAAAACAGTACAATGGGGGGTAGAAACTCTTTAACTTAGATTGTATATTGTCAGTTAAAATGTGGATAAGCTAATTGTAAGTGGAAAGCCAGTATTTTCGTGGGGTAGGAACTGATAAAACAAGATTTGTTAAAAAGTATAAGTTGTACTCACTTCCGTATGACTAATATAATTACATATGTAAGGACACAAAACATGCATGTCCTGTTTGTCTGGACTATTGATGTGTCAGGGTCATTTCTCCTTAATTTTCTGATCCTTTGCAAGGTTTGATAAATCATATGTAGAAAAAATAACAAATTTGTTGAGTCCCCAACTTCGTTGTTCTGGAATGCATGCATAATAAATTTCATATTGCAAAATAAAGCCCAAGACCTCTGCCGTCATACCAGGACACTTAGTCTAAAACTAAGAAATAAAGAAGAGGGACAAAAAAAGAAAAGAAAAAGGAGCCTAGTTTCAACCAACAAAAACCAAGAGTAAGCTTAACCGTTCAATCAAATAGTTAATCAAATTGATGCCTCTTACCCCTTCAACCAAATCAGCAACCCCAGCTCCAAATGTTCTGAAAATATAATCATAACTTATAAAAGAATCATCAAGTGTGTCATGTAAAAGCCCTGCAGCAACTACTGTGGAGTTTGCACCAATCATTGCAAGCAAAACTGCCGTTTCCACGCAATGTTGTAAATAAGGATCGCCACTTGCTCGCATCTACAAAATCAATACAAAACTTCTGATTCCGAAGACCCCAAATTCCAAATTAACAACTTCTCTACAAAAATTCAATAACTATTTATCCCAAAAAAAAAAAAAAAAAAAAAAAAAAAAAAAAAAAAAAAAAAATATTATATGTATATACCTGCCCCCTATGAGCTTTCTCAGCTTCATAAAAAGCCTTAACAACAAAATCATCATAGAATATCTTGTGTCGCAATTGTGCACCCAAAAGCAAATCTTCAGCATATGGTTCTGAACTCCTCCCAGTAAAACTGTCTTCCATATTAAATGTTAGTTCATCTACCTGAACAGATGACGATTCTACATCGAGCGAACCAGTGTGTGCTTGAAAGCTTGGGGAATCGTAATCAATACAAGACCCCAGTGCGTGCCGAACAAACCCATTAAACAATCCACTAGTGCCCGCCCGAAACGAACCCTGGAGAAGATTCAAATCCCCACTGCTCCTTTCGCGCACAATTCTCTTTGGTGGACTTCTCGACGAACCAACCCCACTACTGCTACACGAAACAGGGCCTTGCAACACCGATACCGGGCTCTGATCTCTTTTCAGCGAGGAGCCCAAAGAAGGATACTGCGAGTAGCAAAACGAACTGCCCAAATCCTCGCCTCTATCGTGCCACAACGACCCCAACTCCTCGCCGCCACCGGAATAGCTGGATGACGAGGCGTGCTTGACGGGCGGCGATGCAAATAGGCAAGAAAGGCCACCCACAATTGGCTTTTGGGACGGTGAAGCGGTGGAAGACGACGAGGAAGAAGACCGGCCGTTCAGATCGAAATCGTACGACGCATGTGAATTGATTTGGCAATGGTGTGTGGTCGAACACACACTGCTCGGCGGGCTAGCATACAGCGCTATTGTAGGGACCGTCATGATCTACGATACACAGACCTCAAATTTTGAGCTTCAGATCTGAATTAGCGTACAACAATTAAATGAATTTTTTACCGAAACCCTAAATCTCTGATTTTTACACAGAACAAATCATCAAAATCTAAAAAAAAATAAAAAATCCTAAAAGAAATTAATTTTGAAAGAAAGTAAGCAAATTGAGGTGTATGAATTTGAAATCAATGACGGTATATACAAACTTATAGAGTATAGAGAGATCTAAGTCAAAGGTTAGGTTTTCACAAACGGTCGAGAAAGGGGTCTAAATTTCTGCGAAAGCAATGTATACTTTTGAAGGAAATTTACAAAACCCTAAACTTTTGAATTTCGGTAGGTAGAGAGAGAGAGAGAGAGAGAGAGAGAGTTTCAGGATTTCTTCTAGAGAGAGAGTTTGAGAAGTTTCAGGATTTCTTCTTTCCTCTTCGTTCTATGATTGTGATTTTTGTTCCGAGAATCTGATATTATTTATTGCTTAGCGGCCAGGCAAATGAAAAATGAAGTTACGGTAATGACCTCTGGAAGTACCTGAAATAACGGAAAAATGTGCCTGTGCTTTGCCAACAAGGAAGCGCTTGTTTCTCTCGTTTAGCTTCTACTAATTATAAATTATTATAAGTTTCAAGTATTAACATGACGATTGACAATTGAGCCAATCTTAGATAATTGAATTATGATAAACTAATCATATTGGCTTAAAATAATCATTGATATAATGTATGGATATGAATGTCGTGTTATTTGATGTCACGCCATTCTATATTATAATGCTGAACAGTTCAAGATCCATCTCAGCAACATATGTTATTTATTCATTGAACATCCTAATTAGAGAGGAGTACACACAACACACACGGATGCATTACAGTATATATATATATATATGAAAATTTTCTTTTTATCTTTTTTAGGATGAGGGGACAATTAAGATTGGCGTATTGAATTTGGTCAAAATTTTGATACGAATATTTAAAGTTATTGTTAGTGAATACTCAAGGTAACCGTTACATTTTAAATATGAATTCTCAATGTAGCTATTACTAAATAACGGGGAATCATAATAACTTAATTTTTATTATCAATATAAATAAGATATTGTGGTTTGTCGGGAGTATTTAATGATGTATAATTTTTTTAAATAGCATTATTCTAAAGAAATATAATCACTAATTGCTATCAGACGAGGTGCTACATTGGCATGATATTGTGATTAAAATATATATATATATATATATATATATATTCTACATTTCGTTTTTCCTTTTCAATAGATCGACACGATTTGTATGGGTTTTTGAAAAAATAAAACCAATTTAATTGTAATTTCATTATTTTAAAGAATCCTTTTTTCCCCTTGTAATACAAAACCCAGATTAATTTTATGCACAAACAAAATGAACATGTAAACCTATTTAGATATTCTACCTCCATAGTTTAAACAAACTTACAATGACAAATCTCCCAAATATCCTTTTAAGTTTTATCTTTCCCGCCTCTTAATAACCGTCCTAATCAAAGCACGATAGAGAAATTAAGAGTGACGTTTATTAGTAATAAAATAAGAGAAAATAATTTGATGCGTACAACAAAAATCTATAAATACTCCACAATAAAGAGAGAGACTAGCATGGATATAAAGTTATTAAAAATTATTTTAAAAAGTTCAATATTATGAAACATATGACTCATAATAGAAATTAAAGAAGGGTAAATAATTCAATTCAATAGGATTAAGGCAATGAATGGTGAAAATGATGATACTAATTTTTTATGAAAATAATAATAATAATAATAATAATAACAATATTAAAATGTTGACATGACACATCTTAGCATCGGATTATGATCTTTAGTCAATTAACTTTATCTGTAATTAATTGTATTTTATTCTATTGTATGGAATGATGATAGCAATGGAATTGAATGTATTATTCTTTTAACTTGGAGCAACTTTTTAGTTTAATGCCAGTTGGAAAGGGGAGCATGGTTTTGAGTGTTTGTTTTTATAATTTATTAACCATTGTGCGTAGAGGAATCACTCCCATATCAACAATCCACTTAATCAAATTATAACGTTTTACATTTTAATTAAGATTTATTTTATTTCTCCGTATTATTATTATTATTATTTTTTAGCCATTTATTTTATTATTGTAGATATGAATCTCGCTTGATATTAGATCATAAAAGTTGATCATAGAGTATCAACTTTTAATCATCTTTACAAATTTTTTATTTTATTTTTAATAAAGAAATCAAATTTCAACCAAACTGATTCCTTTTTACTCAATATTCACTTTGCACTTCCACTTTGCACTCTACTAGTAATTAAAACAAAAGCAGATCACGAAGCTAGCATACTTAGACCTAACAAAATGTTTACTTTTTCGAAATAATTTAGAGACATACACTATTCAGATTGGACTGGTTTAACGAAATAATGTTTACTTTGCACTCTACTAGTAATTAAAACAAAAGCAGATCATGAAGCTAGCATACTTAGACCAAACAAAATGTTTACTTTTTCGAAATAATTTAGAGATATACACTATTCAGATTGGACTGGTTTAAGAGTATTTTGAAATAAAACAAGTCTTAACGATTTCATACAAATTAAAATCGAAATATATATTATGTATATATATATATATATATATATATAATATTTTATAATATCGTTAGAATATTATATAATTGTTACTACAATGTAATATTCTATAGTATATTATAAAAATATATATAATACGGAGTACATATATCCAAAAATATGTATACTTTTATAACGGTTAGATTTGGTTTGGTTCCACTCTAATAAGATTCTAAGAACCGCATCAAGTTTAAGTTTTCGAAGTTAAGACTAGACCAAGTCATAAAAAACTCGGACCAAATTGATTAGTTTGATTTACGGGTTAGCTTTTTGTGCATCGCTAAGTGTTAAGAACTTGGGTCTTGGTGCCTCGAAAAACATCAAGTTTAATGATTGAATTATCTTGGGTGTAAATAATTCCTTTAAGATGATGTTTGAGTATCAACTATCAACTAAGAAAAAAAATTCATATTTCTTCCTTTTTAAGTCACTTTTAAAACTTTGACAATAATTTATTAACAATAAAAGTAATACAATTAAAATAACAATATAATGCAATACAATAAAAAAAATTATAGTATAATAGTTTTTACAAAATTGAAAACGATTCCTGAACATCTGAATATTAAATTTAACTCACACACGACTGAGGCAAGTGAGGGAGCAAATTCGAGCCAGGGATGATAAGTTTATCCGTCTCCAATGTATCTATTCTTTTTTTACTATAATACTTTTTGTTTTGACTGTAAAACAAAGTATCAGATTCGAGAGAGGCAAAATTATTTAAAAAAATTGTGTGACTTAGTATTAAACTCAATTTGATCCAAAACATGGCTAAAATGGACTCAGTTCGATTTGATTTACATGATTAAAATTAAAATTGTAGGGGTAATAGTGACAAAATGCATGTGTTGATTCAATGAATATATTTTTGGAATTTTTTGGAAACTTTCTAGACAACTTAAACGTGATGGGTGCGATGATTGATGAACACGTGGTCAGTGTCCACGAGGTACGCCTCTTGTTTCGTCGGCAAATATATATTTAATTAGAAATACGGGGTAGGTTTTGTTTGTATACGGTCGTGGTCCAACTGCTGCCGCCTACTCTTTCCACGTGTTCTTTTGTGCGGACTCAGTTTTCCATAAATCTCCGCTAATTAGGGGTGGTGAATTTCGAATCGGACGGTGAATATGAGGATACGACATTTTTGGTAAGTAGAGCGTAGAAGTGGTATGAAGTAGGTTATAGTTGCTCATAAGTCATTGGTCAAAGCAGTCATCCCCGGCACGCCTTATGCACTTGTCAATTCCGATGATCAACTCTGTCAAGTTGGCTATTAAGCAAGTCCATCGTGTGACGGGACTATCAGTTATTTATTTATTTAATATTAAATTAAAATCTAAAAATTAAAAAACAAATTGATACTTAAAAGGAAGGCAAGAGAGCAAGAAGAAGTTAAATAAAAAAAGAAATCACTATTTATATAATTTTCTTTAAAAAATAACTAAGAAAAATAGACTCAATTTTATTAATATATAGCAGAATTTGGAATTTTATTTTTTTATTTTTTAAATCTTCTCTAATGTTAGAAGATTGAAAAAAAATAGAAACAGTCCATTATATTTCTTATTTGAGTGATGCTATTTTGCCCGATTATAAAAATCTATTATTAAAGACTCTTTACTAAATAATGGCTGAATATATGTGTCAAATGACAGCGAAACTCTTATCTGCTCGCCTCCAACAACATTGTAATTGAAAAAATAACAACATAGTAACTGAAAAAATCATTGAATTACAACCAACAAAAACAGCTTCTCGATTTAATTTGAATTTAAGTTTATGTAAAATATTTTATGATTTTTTTAAATGTATATGTATATTTATATTTTGTTTTGTTTTGTGAAACTGTTCTTGTTTTCTTTTAGATCATATTTTTTAACCTTTATTATTTCAGATCTAGAATTTTCAATCCTAAATTTCACAAAAGTGAGAGATTAAAGTTAGGTTACAAATTTATGTAAGAAAAAAAATTAGGGATAAAGTATGAGAGTGAACTAGAGTGAACACTGCAAAGGCGGAAGAGTTGAGAGTCTAAATCTGTGAAAAAAAAAAAAAATTTTAGAATGTCATGTGAGGGAGCAAGAGAGGACAAAGGAGGCGGGAGATTTTGAGACATTTAGGGCCCCAAATCTGTGCTAAAAAGTTGAAGAACCAACCAAAGAGAGTTTGAGAGAGAAATTTGGGATAGAGTGAGAGATTAAATGTGTCCCATCACGTCAGTTAGTATAAAATGGGTAAAATATTGTCTACAAAAATATTATTTTTCTTTCTTATTTATATACCCCGAGCACATGTTTTGAAATTTGATTGGAAACCGCAATTGTAGAGTACCAATAAATTTCCCAACATTTTGGAGTTTCAATATTGAAAATTACGCTTAAATAGTGCCGTACTGGCCAATGACATTTGGTAGAGTACGTTGATTGTGTTCCTTCACGTGCATAGCTTTACAGGGCCTACGTATTTCGTCATATATCTCATTAATTAATTAATTTATTTATCATATTTCACGGTTTTTATTATAATTGTGGGAAAAAAAAAAAAAAATGGGAGAGTGTGAAAGCTAGAGCATAAAAGAGAGAGCCAAAGTTAGAGTTTGGATGCTGAAATTTATAATTTGCTTCTTTTGGTATAGTGAAATCTTTAGTCAAATTTTCACTGAGCAAAGTTATTTGTGAGGTAACTTGGGTTATAGTGCAGGTTTAAAAAATAATAATAATAATTAATATTACTATTTCACATTAGTCATAACCCATCCCAAGTTGCTCAATTCATAATAAAACATAAATGATAAATG